GGTCGATGATTAGATTGAATGCATTTGCGTGGTTACGGGGTGTATACAAGTCGCACTGTGCCGTTCTGCTGGTGCAGTGCAATCCCATCTGACTTTGTCAGAAACAATGGATACTTCATCATGTAGACTGTTCAGTAGTAAAGAGATGTAGAACCATTCTGGTCGGGGGGTCCTTGATCGACAGTCTATACCCCCTCAAGACTCTATCCTCAACACCCAGAGGGTAAGGCTTTTGCCCAACATGGTCTTTAGATGTTTTTGACCTTTGAGCTGGGAGTCCTGGGCGGAGCTGTCCCCCTTTAAGACCAACATGGACCCTGAAAACCACTGGTGATCCTGGTTGGTCAAGGAAAACCTCGGAAAACCATCTTCAAAAGCATCTTCCAAACGACTAACCATTGTCAACTGCTCGTCTTCAGGAGTGCTTTCTGAAAAGAGGTGATATCCTCTGCACCTCCCAAGTCCTCCGGTGCTCTCGGACGGCTTGGGTCGCCCAGGCAGAAGGCTGAAGCTGCCAGGCCGTCTGCGGCGACAGCGACAGGCGTGACGGACAGCTTGCGTCCCACGACCGGCGAGTATGGATCGATCGCTTGAGAGAACTGCAGGCTAAAAGTATGTGATCTATGGCTCGCAGTATGAGATTTATAAGGAGATCACCTTTGATATGAGCTCAAAAGGGGCATCCATGGGCATCCACTAGCAGGTAGAATATGCACACTCTAGATCAACTTGGACCCTTCGACTATTCACACAACATGACCATGATGAAAGGAGTTTGCTGTAAAACCTTCAATGCGGTACCAACCTTCCGCGACAATCTGAGGTCTCTACCCATATAGTGGTCCCCAAATAGATAGCAACGGTTTCCAATACATGTTTTTTCTATCTATTTAGGAGGTTGTATAGATGTTTACAGTAGGCCCCCATAGATGTGTTCTTTTCAACTGTTTATCTCCTCAATGACTCAACATGACTCAACCAAGAATGGGTGGATGTGAAAAGCACTATGTCAAACAAGAATCCCTTCCACGCACTCCTAACACTACTTCTTTGAAACATCCTCGAAATCCTGCTGCTGTTGCTTGAGTTGGCCAACTCTCTCTCATCTTCATATCCCAAGGTCCGATCCGTTTCAGGGGGAACGATCTCCGCTGTTCGATGCCGGCGCCAAACCCTGCGGCGCCCAACCCGCTGCGCAACCCGCCTGGTCATCTCCCATGGCGCGCCGGGCACGTTCGGACCGCGGGTCTCGAGGTCCCGCGAGTCTCGGTCGGGTGGTCGGGGGGCCAGCCGGGACGTGCGTGGGAGCGCTGTGTGGAGGGCCTTAGCTCCAAGGTGCTTGTCATCCTGAGAAGGCCTCATTCTCTGCTTACACTCATGTCTGCCACCCTCTTGAGCCAGGTGAGAGCGCAAGCGACAGGTCCAACCTCTGCTGCATGGGTCGCCAAAGCTATCATGTTGGACATGCAAAATGTAAAATAAAATAGAAGAGAGAGAAACAAAAAATTAACTTGAGTAACTCTCATGCAAGCGAGTGGGTGAGACTGACTCCACATCATCCCACATCCACAAAACGAATCAAAACAATACAATACGTCCGCCTTGTTTCCAGCACCCCACTTCTTCCAACGCCCACTTCACCACATCGGTTCTCCGATTTGGGAGCACCGGTGGCCCCGTGGCACTCTTCGGGTGGCCAAGCGAACTCACAACCGTCTTCCACCCTCCGTCGAACTGGAAAGCTCAGCATCGGTGAAATCCGGTCAACCTGAAAGCAGGGGCGTCCGATCGCGAACGGTTCGATGCTGCGATGCGATCGGAGCCCCGAACGTAGCGAACCTTGTTACTACAGTAGTAAGGCCAGGAGCCCCGTTCGTAGCGTCCTTGCTCCGGGGCGTCCTTCTGAAAGCAGGGCTACTCAGAAGAGTTGTGTCTATCACATGGTCGCGATGGTGGCTTTGAAGACGACAGTTCCCTGATGCATTGCTTCTCAAATGTTCAAAGGGAACCCCCCCCAAAAAAAGGAGAAATGAACTGTCTAGAGCCAGGAGGGCTCTGTAGTGACGAACTAGAAGGACTTCATTTCATATACAACTGCTTGGGAAGATCCCTCTTTCTTGAACGACCACACCCGACAGATTGTTGGCCCCTCACTTGGGCAGCGGCTGGGCGCGGGCCCTGCCTAGGCATATCTCTGCACAATGTGGACACCCCGAGAGGTCGTCACCAGATCGCTGAGAGCATTCACCTGGCGGATTGCCGAGCTGGCCAGTTCTGCAACGGCCGTGGGGGGAGGGGCCGGATAGGATCCAAACCACTCCTGCAGTACTGTACCGTGCCGTAAGTTCCAGGGCAGCAATACTGTGAGCATTTTCCAGGGTCTTCACAGAAAGCCTCAATTGAGCACTCCGTTGGTCTGCAGCACCTTTAGAAGACTAGATGGAGTGGCCACAAGGCCACTTGACCTTCTACATCCTACCACCACTGGACCAGGATCTTTTATTGGATACACATGGGACCACATGGATACACGATCTGACCCGCCACCAGCCGATGGGGACCTCCAGCGAGAAGACGGCTTCCTCCAAGGCAGGGTCCTGGGTGCCTTTCGAGATCCAACCTGCACAGCGTCCGCGGTGTCCGGATGTCCCGGTCTTCGACCCTTCGATCTTCCGAAAGCCGGTTTCGTCCCAGCAGGTGGAACGGCATGTTGTGTTGATATTTGTATATATAAATATATATGCCATATAAATAATGGAAAAAATATGTGGCTTCAAGGCTTACTTTAAAAAAAAACGATGCAATCTGTGAAAGCAAATTCAAGAACAAGCAAATTCGAGGCAGAGCCGTATGGTAGAACCAAATGTCAAATGCAGTATGATTTACAAAATTCAATGGTTCTACCTGAACGAACCATGGTCCGATATGGTTTCCACCGGTATCGCCGCATGTCGTCTCCCACAACACCGGCCCGGCAACTCTGGCTCATGGCTCCTTTTCGCCAAAGCTAGCTACTGTCGGCAACACCCCTGTGGGGGATGACGAAGAATTTGTCACAATCCTTCCTGCACCCCAAAAATCCTCACCGAAAAAAACATCGCAAACTGGTGCAAACAGAACGCAGACCGAACGCATGCCGAACCCGCTCCAGGTGGCCGCGGCCGCTCCGAAACCGTCTTCACCGACCCGCGGTTTCCGGACGGTCGTCTTCCCCGACCCATCGGAGTCATCCGTGGGCACCAAAGCCATGAAGATACTGAGGATATCTGAGGATTATGGATTTCATAGGGGCGAAATCTCGCTTCATGATCACGACAAGTTCGAGCGTCTTATTCACCCTCTTTCCTAGCTCCTTCCAGGAAAAAGCAACGCATTACACACGTGGCTTGTGGAGGAACATCTTTTATAGGAGTCCCATGTCATTTCTGAAGGCATTTCATCTTCAGCTACCAGAATGCGCATCTCAGGCATCGGAGTTGACAGCTCTGCCCCCAGGTCTGCCGTCATGCCATCACCGGAACCGCCTAGATCGCCGGCCATCTGCCCCGGCTGCAGCGCCGACTTGCACTCGGAGACCTTGCGCGCCAGCGTGGGGAACCTCGGGCGGCAGGGGCAGGAGGAGGATGGAAAAAACGAGAAGCCTCAGGCTAGTTCCGCGATATTTTGGGGGTTCCATCTCAGAGTTTGCGCATGTGCAAACTGATAAGCTTGAATGATCGAGACATGTGAGGACTTCGATACACGGCAGGCGACGACAGGCTCAAAACTTGGGTGATCTTCATGGGTGGCCCAGGAGAAGGGCACCAGATCACAGCCCATGGAAGAGTTTAAGAAGGAAGGTTAATTCCTATGTGCGTGCCTTGATTCATGCGGGGAAACATGTTCAGAATTTCCCAGAAAAAATAGCATGGCTTGGAAATAGTGTTTGGAGGCCAGCGTGAAGCATGCGTTTTTGAGATTCTCTCAGAGCGTGGCTGGCTCACATCCTTCGTCAGTGTCTCCTGCAAGGGCTCATATCAAAAACGCCATTTAGGCCTTAAATTCAGCCCTTCTAGAATATGAACATATATATATATATCATAATATAAGATAGTATAACACACACATACATATATATATATATGCAGACCGTAGTGTTGGCAGACTTTGATTCAGGAAATCGCCGCTATAGGATGAAGTATTTAATGTATAGTTATATATATATATATCGTATCTGCCTTCTGCGCATCCGATGCGCATGCCTGGGACTAGAAATGCTTCTCAGGCATCAGGCATGATGGAAAAGCGCTGGATGGACGGCAGATTCGGGGCAAATGACGCACACTCTAGATACACTTGAAAACCAAGATCAACCACCGTGCAGCCGCTGTAGCGATTGGCCCCACCAGCAGGGCTACCCAGAAGCTGCCCCAACACCACAAAACCCACGAAAAGGTGCCTGTGAAAATGGGTGGCGCATCGTCTTGGAGGAACTACACTTTGAGCCAACTTCCAACATCTCACCATCAGTGCCCTAGCTTTAGCACAGACATGGAAGTGGAAGAACCATGGAGTGGGCCCGTCTACTGGCACGTCAGACCGTCTTCCTTTTTTGGGGCGTCCACTCCTTTAATCTCATCAGCTCACGCTCCGCCTGTCAGGGATCGCAGCAAGCACCGATTCTGAGAATGTCCTACTGGAAGCTCACCCAACATTGAGAAATCATGAGAATCACGCCACCGACGGCCTTTGTGGAGAAAGGGAAAAGTAATAACAAAATATAACAAACAATTGAGAAAAGAAGGTCGATGGATTGATTGATTGATTGGTTGATTGATGCAACAATTATATGTATTTAAAAAAAGCGGCCCACACACACTTCCACACTTCCTCGCCTGAGCGAGGGGCCGGGTGATGGGGCCTCAGATCAAACAGGCGCGTGGGACAACCGGCCAGAAGCAGGGGTCTTGGATACCCAGAACCTTCGTGAACAATAACATCAGAAAATGCCCCCATCAGAAAAGCCCCCAGCGCCTTTTAAAAAAGAGCTGATGAGACTTCTCACTTCCCAGATCGAAACCAAATGGAGTGACAGCCTGCTTCTCCTTTTGCGATAAGCCCCCATTGTCTCCCGGGACGCCGATGACGCCCTGCTCTTTTTCTCCACAGCGAGCACCGGCGCAGGGCAAGTTCTCCCCGCATTGGTCCACCTCGCAATTGCAAATCTGGCTCTCACGAAGGAAAACAAACAGAGCGGTGTGCTAGCTCCTTTTCTCTCTCCCAAGCACAAGAGGGGTGCTGCCCATGCGGCACATGCGATATATCATGCATCTCTTGGAAGTGGGAAGTGCCAAGATAGAGACGCCCTGGGGCCGCGCTGGAGCCCCAAAAATGTCTCATACTCCATCCCACCTCAGCCATAGACTCGCCAAAGCTGCTGTGCATAGCTAGCCCAGCCCATGAGCCGTGGCCACATGCCAGGTGCACGGCCTTGGGCGGCAGACTCCGAGGCGTCAAGGTGATGCGAAATGGAAGGATGGAACATGATGGAGTAGCAAGAAGCTACGAACGTAGCTCCTGGCCGGACTACTACGAGCAAGAAGGTACGAACGTAGCAAGGACACCGCTACTAGTAGCAAAGGGCATTACTTAGTAATCACAAGTTTCGGGATTTGTGCGAAACTTGGTTGGAAGGAATTGGATGCATTTGGATACAGAAACTTTGATAGAACATAATGATGGATTTGGATGGAACATTGGCGTTGCCCTTAGCGGTCGGTACAATATGCATTGGAGTAGTTGAGCGGTGTCACTCCCACCACAAGCAGCAAAACGGCGACCATTGCTGGAACCCTGTCAGGTCTCTGACTCTTCCTAAACACCAGGCGAGGGAAAGAGTCAAATATGATAGAAACGACCAACCCGGACAAACCCCATGCTGGAACTGGGTCTCCTCTTCCAGAATGCTCGATTTTGCCAAGGGACACCACTGGCCCCTGGACGAGTTCTTTTGGGACACAAGAATGGGATTGTCCGCCAAAACCCTACAAGTCAATCCTGCCTGTGGGAATTAGGGGTACATGAGATATTCCTTTCCTGCACTGTCGAGAACCATTTGCATTATGATGTCTATTCTTCTGAAGTAGTTTCAAAGCCGCAGTCTGAGCCACTCAGTCTGGGCTGCCGTACAGGGCAAAGAGCTGCCTAAAGGGGCAACGAAATGGGATCCAAAACTCTGGGGCTTGGGATCTCTCTGGGCACATGACTCTCACGTGACATGTCAGTGAAGGGGCCAACCCGATGTCCCAACGCTCAACCATCTGACACTCCCTTAGGTGTTCCTTGGCTGCGGCACACTCAGAACAAGTTGTTCCAGGATTCCGAGACTAAGGACCATTATCCAGGTCCAGGATCCCAGGTAAAACGTGGGAAAAGAAGTCGCTCGCGTCCTCCCCGTCCGTCTTCTTCCCACTCTGGGCGTAGGAAGCCCTGGCAAGGTCGCGCAGGCCACTCCGACAGGCAGATGGACTTCGGAGGTGGAAACTGAGATCGAACAAATGCACATGAAAGCTCCCGGATGCACAAGCGTGCACAAGCGGGCCGGCTTCTTGGGGCCGGCTGATCGGACATGAAGAGGACAGGGCATGACAGGACACAATCTGTCTCGATATGTCTTGTTCATCTGGCTTTGCCAACATTCCCCATACATCACAATACTCACGTGAAGACCCAGTCGACTCGACCTTAGCCAACCTCACATGTCTCGGCGTAGATCGCCGAACGCCGTGCCTGCAGCTCGCTAGGGCCCAAAGGCTTGGGTAAGCGGCCGGTCTTGAAAGCGCCTCGCTCCATGTCCCAATCGGTGTAGAACTCCTGCCGTGCTGTCGGCATGGCCGGCTCGGAACCCGCACCCACCATGTCTTCGTTAATCACCGAATCACTGACTTCTCAAGTTGTCAAGAGTAGGGACACCAAGAAGCAAAGCAAAGCAAAGCCAGTTGGCCCGTGCGGGCCCACCCCCGTTGTCTGCACCCTCTGAGGACAGCGCATGGTCATGCCAATTCCAAAAAAACCTAAGTGCGCTGTGCGCTTCCTCAATGTGAACCTCACCCCTTCGCAACAAAAAGCATGGGACTTTTTGTCAGTGACTAGGTATAATTCACCCTCTCTCTATATATTTATATAGTCGAAATATAGATAAAATAAAGTGTGTATATAAATATAGTGATACAAAATGTTACACATGTAAAGGCTATTATACAGTAAAGGCTAATATATATATATATAGATAGATATATAGAGTGTTGTTTAAGAAATTATCCGATTGTATACTGAGCATCCCCATGTTCATCCCCAATTGACTTCGTCCATCCGGAACCGAGCACGACTCGCATCTGAGGCTCAGTCCAGCCGTGGCTGGCGTGGTTGTAGCCCAACACCTGGAGTGATTCAGCCCAGTTGCTCAAGCCGGTGGTTGGCGCTTCTCCCACCGTTCCGGGGACAACCCGGAACGACAACACAGCGTCACCAGCTGCACAATCGAAACGACACTTCCATGAGTCGACTATCAATCGGTTCAACTCTTTCCCCTCTCGGACGGCAAAACCAAGGGCGATTTCAGTCGATCCACTCCGATCCATCCAACCTCTCATGATAGAGTCCTCAACGGAGAACCAAAAACACCCCACACCAACACACCACGGCCGTTTGATCGGACCGGTTGGGTCTCGCGCGGGTCTCGTCCGTCCACCGGCACCTGTTGCCGCGCAAAGTCCGCCTGCTCGGCCTCCGAGAACTGCCCCGGCCTGGCGCGGGCGACGCACCGCGCGGTGCGTCGGCAGCAAGGTGAGGCAGCGCAACGAGGGACTACTTTCGACAAATAATTGGGAAAATGCATGGAATGGAAGTTATTGAGACTGGGGTGGACATTGGCCGTACCCGGTCTGAAAATGTCTGGAGGCTATTAGTAAAACCCCCCGCAAAGAAAACATCGTGTTCCCTAGCCGGTAGCAAGGGCTGCTCATCTTCCGAATCTGTGGTCCGAGAAACGGCGTTGAACACGTGTATGTATGTATATATATACAAGCATCCTCCAACAGGTCACCAATTGAGACCTGGTGGGGCCCAAGAACCCTCTAAAGGAGACCTGTTGGAGGATGCTGGTATATATATATATATAATATATATTAAATAGTATTTTTATGTATTTTTCCCAGGTGCCATCACGTGCCCATGGTGTCATTTCAATCCATCCGGCCCGACGGCAGATGCTCCATTCCCCGTGCCTGGAGGTGCTCCATTCCCCGACCATCGCATGCGGCAAGCACTTCAACTCCAGCGCGTGGCACGCGACCACGTCCACATGCTGCCGGTGGGAGAGGAGGTTCCAAATGGATGAGAAGTTGTGGTAGTAGTGCAGGTCGAACCTGAGAGCGGCACTGTCCAATCGGTCGAACCTGGCTTGCATCATCCGGCGGCAGCTCGGGGTCCTGTCATCTCACGGACATCAAGAATGCCGGTCAAACCGCGGCAAACACACATTAACAACTAGCGTTACCGATCACCCGTGGAATGCCATGATATGGGTTGTAGGATGTTGTAGGCCTGTCTTCAACCATTGCAGAAACTCACAGCTCTAAGTCGTTGGATGTGTGGACTAGCTGGAAGGGTGGACTAGCTGACAGGTTCACACCATGCACTAGCTGACTAGCTGGAAGGGTGGAGGCGTTGTCGCCGGAAGGGGGTGCCACTCGGCGAGAACCCACAAAGCCTCCAGGAAATCAGCCACACCACTGCCCACTGCAACCGCTCAAGGAACCCTCACCTTCTCAACAACCAGCCGCCCTGAGGTCGCCTTTCTAAACCTTCCAATCTCCCGCAACCTCCTCGCAACCTGCCATCGTTTTCTTGTGGAAAGGCACACCACATTGTCGTACTTCATGAAATTCCCCCGCTCGGCCCAGGCGTCGGTGACCTCCGGCGCCCTCCAGTGCGTGAAGATCGGCAGCCTCAAACCGCCCGGCCCAGGCCGGCAGCGGCGAAGGTCCGGGGAGTCACCACAGACACCGGAGAAAGGACACCCATCACCGGCCCGGTGAGCCAAAAGCACATATATGGGGGTGGCAGAATCTCCGTTTGGACCATAGTTTGTGGGTGCACAGAATGTTCAGCATGTTCATGCATGGTCTATCATATTCCATCTTCACTCCCCAAAAGGCCCCGGATGGTCGTCATGATGGCATCACGATTTGAGAACAACATCGAACAACCATGGAATTCCTGCTTGCGTGGCCCCTTCGCTTCAGCACCTCACCACTCGCTTCCGCTCGCACCCCTGCGCAGAACGGGGGTGCGCTCTGCAGGACGAGTCGACTCGTGGCTGCAGAGCCGTCCACCTTTTTGGCACCGTGCCAAACGCGGAGCTCCGTGCCGTGCCAAGAAGCACCACCGCTACCTTGTCGGCGCTCATCCCTGCCCCACGCACTGCCTAGGGCAGTGAGAGTGTGAGAACCTCTATCGGTTTCGGGGTGAAAGGGAAGGCGCATGAACATTCATCTTTGCAGGATTGGAGCTAAAAACTGTGACAAAGGGCACAGTTTGGAGGAAACAGGTCATGGTTTGTAATGAACACTGATGTCAGGGAGGGCACTTCTTAATCCCGTAGACCTTCATCCCGGTCGCAGGACCTTGCCATGGAGCAACCCCGGCACCTATGTGACACCTGCGGATTGACCACACGGGGTGCCAGTCCAAAACTTTGCCGTACATGGCGTAATGTAGACTCTTGATGAATAAACCCTCCCTTTCAAGAGGATGTTCAATTCAAATGGGGGGTCTATTAATCAAGAGTCTGTATACATTATTTCGGAATCAGGACTGTTGCAGTGCTTCTCTGGTATGCTGTGTCTGGGGTGTTGGAATTCTGTCAGACCCTCTCAGGTGATAAATGGTTGGTTTTCTTGAGAATATGATATAGACTCCCATCCCTTTTCCTACAAAATTGGCTCAGCTGTGTGGGGTTCAGCTGCGCCTCAATGGCATTCTCGTAGAAGTCACACAGCCTTAGTGACAAGACTGAGACAAGCCGCCGCAACAATTTATAGTAGACCGTTTGACCGTTTGGATTGTAAAACCTCATGTTTGGGGGGTTGACATATAAGATCTTCATGAGGAGAACGCCAAAATGATGCAATGTCTTCGAGAAAAGTCACAGGCCGTCTTCCAAATGCATCGCGGTCCATATCTCTATCTCATAGAGCGGCGTAATCTGGCAGGAAGTGGAAAATCCGTAGAAATCCTAATGACAATGAGTGTCATATTCTTGTTCCTGCATGTTCATGTTAAACTCACACAACATGTTTGATGCTCATGTGCCGTGCGGCACATGAGCCCACCTGTTCATCGGCAACCGGTCCTGAAGACTCAACCGGTGGTCCCTGGAAACCACGCCCCTGAGCCAACGATGTGGGTGAAAGACACTTCTTCACTTCAGCCCCCCCGCGACCGAGCATCCCACCGAGCCAAGCTGGGGCCCTTGACCGACCCACCGGCATGCGCTCGGAGGGCTCGTTGCACACCTGGTCGAGCATCGCCGTGCATCGCTTGACAAACCCCATGCGGCGTGAAAAGTGGTCGATCGTCCGTTTCAAGAAACGAAGACAAAGGAAACTCTAAATAGCGGCAGGTTGTAAATTGTAGGAAATTGTCTGAAATGGTTAAAATGGGAGGGCTCTGACACCTTCAAGGTGGAAAATCAGTTTCAAAGTGGGTTCTATGGCTACACTTGTGCCGCTGCCTTTCGCACCAGGAGGCACATCGCAAAAACGGAAGTTCTGACCGAAATCTGAGCCGGGACTTCTTCTCCTGAGCCATATCGGCCCACCAAGTACCAGCCTGAATGCCCGTGACACAAGACTTGTCGCAGTATCGCGCGGCTACGATGGCCAGGATCTTCACAGCCTCACCGGCGCTTGTCAGCCAGTCAGCCAGTCAGTCAGTCAGTCGAAGCACACACACACAGAAAGCACAGTCGAACATGGAGGACGCCTTAGTGGTAAAGGTCACTCCACTCTGGTCGAACATTTCTTCTGGCATGTAACACCTCGCAGGAATAATTCAATAGGTGTGTCCCCCATACAAGTATCCAAAAGGGCCTGTACTGTACAGACGTCATGGGCCCAAGCGGATGTGATTGAAAGGGCGTCGTACCCTATACTTGAGGCCGAGGGTAGGTGACGAAAGCTAGCAGGGGTGCATCCGGACTGGTGGGACATCAAGCGGAGTGAGGCAAATGCTCATGAGGTAAAACGTTGTGAACATGTAAGACACACAAACAGCAATGACACAGCCAACCTTAGAATTGAAGTCCCCGATAATTAAGGAAGCGTGGCTGGACTTTGCCACACTGTTCGATGCATCCGATGTGTTCACGAACCTGTGAGCTTGTTGAATCTGTTGCACCGTATCCCAAAACCTCCACGGAGGAGTTGAACCAGTGTGGATGCCATAAGAGGTGCCCAAGAGGTGTCCCAGAGGCAAAACAAAGCTGCTTGCATGATTTGTTTGGTTTCTTCTATCGATGTCGATGTCATGAACATGTGAGCTTGTTGAATTTGTTGCACCGTATCCCGGAGGAGTTAAGCCAAAGTGGATGCCATAAGAGATGCCCGAGAGGTGTCCCAGAGGCGTCCGAGGGGGGAGTTGAACCCACGGGGGGGGGGGGGGGCCCTACATATGAAGTTTTCACGTGATGCGGCGATCCCGAGGATTCCAGCCCCTCACTTGCTAAAGCAAGGACAACTCCAGCTAGCTGCTGCTAGCTTTCGTGACAAAGGCTCCCACAAATGTTTATCTAGAGGGAACGTGCCGGACACGAACACTTGGCGAATGTACCTTCTGTATCGCCATTGCAGGGCGCACCCGAAACCTGCTTGAAATGAACCGAGCAAAAATATCTAAGAGTTGCCTTTGTCAGCACAAAGCAAGCACTGCCACACCTATAGAGATCCCATTCGCTGGAGCTTGTAGAAGTGAAAACATCACCGCAACGGGAACATCCACAAAGATCCCATGACCTCGATTACAATACCTCACACAGACTCTTGATTAACAAACACCCCTCATTTGGATTGAAAAAGCCCTTCAATTTGGTGTTTTTCAAAAAAATCATCACCATGATCCTCCGCTCCGCCAGTCTCCACCGTCCGTCTCGTCTCGTCTCGCACCTCGTCCGTCCTCCAGCGTTCCCAGCTCCAGCTGCTGTCGTGCCGCCCGCAGGGTCGATCGCCGCTCTCCCCGCCCGGGCAGCCGTGCAGGTCCTGGGCCGAGGCCGCGTCTCGTCCGTCGTGGCCGTCGCGCGGCGGGGACGTGGCCTGGTTCGGACCAGGTCAAGGAGAACGGACCTGGTGGGCCGTGAACGGACCTGGGGACCTGAGCCGCGGCTCTGTGCCTGATATCGATGTCCTCCCCGCTGGCGGTCGTGCGGGGACCTTCTGCGGTCATGCACGGCAAAACAGAGACGCACACGCCCAAAACAAGCCGACCTGATTGACGTCGGCCGCCGAACCAATCGCCCAGCTCCAAAAAGGGCTGATTGCTTCAATCCCAGGACTCCACCCTTTGAACGCACTCCCTCCTCCCATTCCTCCAAATCCAGGACCTATATGCTTCACCCACCCAGCACCGGTGCCCCGACCGCGGTGCGTGTCGTGTCGATCGGTTCGTCTTTGCCGGAGGCGCCAGCAGTAGCTGAAGCGCTCCGACATCTTCGATCAGCGCCACCGCCCGGTCCAAGGCTTCCAGGCCTTGTTCGCGGAGCGCGACCGGAGAGAGGTTAGGCGAAGAGGAGGAGTCAGGAGGAGGAGAGAAAGGTCGGTGATGTGTCTGGGGCAGCAGCTGTGGGTTTTATGGGGTGAGGTGAGGTGAGGTGAGTCTGAGAGTCTATAGAAGTAATTAAATGGTGAGCCAGCGACCGTGGTGGTATTATTTGATGTGCTTACATCCGGCCTGGCCGCGTCCTGGGTTCATGAACTGGTGTTATGAAGCTCATGAACTGATGAATCTGCCCGGTGGAACTGAAAGGGTGGGTGTGGATGGATGCAGAACGCTTGAACGGTTGAGCACGAAACAGCGAACACCAAACAGCCCTCCCAACCGGGGATGTTCTTTTGGGAGGAATAGACAGGGGTCGGTTTGGTACCATGAACTATTGAACTATTGGTCCCTATTGGTTGTGATACCCCTCCGTTCATCAACCAACCAGTGAAAAAGATGGGGCGACGGCCATCTACACTCCGGTAGAGCGAACGCAAGGAGCAACCGCTCTTCTCCGAAAGATGGATGGGGCGTCTCAAGCACCTGGTAAGGGACAACTTTTTGGGAAAGCAAAAAAAACACTGGCTATATAAATGAAACTAAATGAACCGAACGCTTTAGGTCTTTAAAACGACCCCCCTGACCGTGATCATGTGCGTTTTCCATCCCAATAACCATTCAAACTAGGTGGGACAATATAGTTATACAGTATGTTACACTCCGACGAACACATCGACATGGAAGTGGAGTTCGCCCGAAAAGTCGTTTTCCAGGGGACCATGCCACTTCCATGTGAGTGAATGGTAGTGAGTCAGGGTTTTCAGACTCTAAAAACCCCATCCGTTCGACTCCTCAACAACTCCGGTAGAGCGGCAAGGTCCTTCGTAGGCTTCGCCCGCTCCTGGCCGTGCCACTTGCTGCCCTATGAAACCTTCAACTGACGAGCTGAGAATCCAAATAGGTCTATACCCCCAACAACTCCCGCAATACTCTTTGAATAAAGCAACATCATGGATCGTGGGTCTGCAATAGTCCAGATGATGATTTGTGTAATTCATCTTCCAAAGCGCTTGCATTAACTCAGAAACTCAATAGTGTCTGGCCAAGTCATTGTCTCAGCTTTCGTGTCGTTGTTGCGGTGCGTCTTCAGCCTGGCTCTTGTACCACCCAATATCCAAATGGTAAGCGCACCGCGTTCAAGCCGCACTGAACGATGTTCCGCATGGTTTCCGCCTGAACAAGCAAAAGCAGGGTCCTTGATACTGGACCGTGTGATTGGCAGGGTCCATGCAGCGTCAGGGTGGTGTAATCAAATGGAAATCCGGGGCCCATACCCCGACCAGTCCATCACGCACCACTTCACCGAGGCACACAGTGAGAACAATCTCGGCAGACACTCTAATGTTTTCTGCATATAAGAAATACAATACATCCCTGTTATTATTTAGGTGGTGGGGTCGTGCCATTTTGTAGTACGGAATGAGCTGCCGTACAAGAGGGTTGCAAAGGAAATGCAGCCTTACAAAATGGTTTCCTGAAATGGGATTAGGCTCCAAAATGGAACCATCATGAACCATCAGTCAGAGAGAGAGAGATATATATATATATATATAGATATATTCATACCATGTCATACCTTAATTTATTCGTTTTTCTTGGATGTATTTGGGATGCTTCCTTCAGGCGATGGAACGGCCATCCGAAGAGGGCGGGTCACCCCACGCTGCACGGGCGCCCCGGCCGTGTAGTGATGCGCTCGGTGGTGGTCGAAGAGTTGCCGCCTTGGTGGTCGAAGACCCCCCGCACATCACATCCCGCCCGTGGATGTTGGGGGGCGGATTTGAGACTGAAAAGATGTGAAACATGTGCTTTTGAAGGCCGTCTGGTAAATGAAAGGTTCACTCCATCTTCCCACTGCGCAAAGAATCTGCTCTCAATTCACCCCCAGAAAGCAACCCTTAGTTCTCCCCCCCAATTCCAGAAACCACTGTCACTCTCTACGGGATGTTTCACCTCCCCCTCGCCCGAAAACATCCACGCTCGCTCATCTGGCCCGTCTCGGTCGTCCATCCCAGGCGCCGGAGCTCCTCGCCGCCCGCCGCGCGCAGCGCGGCGCAGAGCGACCACTCGTCGCCCAGGCCTTGGGGCGCCTCGCGCGCGGGCGACGGCTCCTGAGAGCGGCGGGGAGGGAGGCCATTGCCATAGAGCGATGCGGAAGACAAGGAAGAGTCCCGGAAGAGGCGGTATCGGTATGAGGGCAGTACGAGGGAGGCAGTTGGGGGCAGTTGGAGAATGAGGCAGGCGGTGTGAGACACGGCCGGGCTACCAAAAAGAAACTAAATCTAAGTATAGGTATATATATATATATATATTTAATATTTCAAAAGGAAAATGTTCTATATGCAATCAACAAGATAAATTTAATTGGTATCAAAAGCCATATAAGCTTTCACAAAAACCTGGGCCTGCCACTTGGAAGCGCTGCGCGATGTGAATCTGGATGTGCAGATTTCGTGCACTTTGAGCACCTCCAGTAGCACGTTTCGTGGCAGGAGCGGCACTTTGCGCACTGGAACTGCGGGTTTCGTGGCAGGCGCAACACTTTGAGCACCTTCAGTTGCAGGGCTCGTGGCGGGCGCGGCACTTTGCGCCTTGGAACTGCAGATTTCATGGCAGGTGCAGCACTTCGTGAACCTCGGAGTGCAGATTGCGTGCGCTGCACCTCGAAGTGCGGATTGCGTGGCAGGCGTGGCGCTGGGTGAACCTCTGTCTATAAGCGCACACTTCGTGGCTGGCGCAGGGATTGCGAACCTCGAAGTGCAGCTTGCGTGGCGTGCGCACAATTTCTGTGGATCTCAAGGCCTGTGAAAAGAGCTCTTGATATCTCTGAATCTGAACATCTTTCTACACCCTCTGCAAGTCTAGACCCCTAAGACTTAGATTTCAAGACCTGCCTGGATCTCAAGACTCAAGACCTCTAAACCTCCATCCTCCGATCTGTGGGTTTCTAGGCCTCTACACCTGCAGATCTGTCTGGATCTCCAGGCCTTTGGACCTTTGTAGATGTAGACCTCTCTGCATCTCAACCGTGATCTCTCTGAATTTCGGACCTCTAGGCTTCTGTAGACCTGTGAATGGCTCACAAAAGGTCTGCTATGTTGGAATGGCACCTTCCTCCCTGTAAAATTTGCCCTCGCATGGCTCACAAAAGGTCTGCTACCTTGGCGTGGCACCTAAAGTTTAGCCCCGGGTGGCTCACAAAAGGTCTGCTACGTTGGAATTGCAAATTCTGCCCTCGTTGCTCACAAATAAACCAAGGCCTGCTACCTTGGAATGGCAACTTCTTCCTCTAAATTTAAACCCCGCAAGGCTAACAAAAGGTCTGCAACATTGGAATGGCTCCTTCCTCTTCTAAATTTTGCCCTCAGGTGGCTCACAAAAGGTTTGCTACCTTGGAATTGCACCTTCTTCGTCTAAATTTTACCGTCAGGGTGGCTCACAAAAAAGGTCTGCTACGTCTGGTGATAAGAGGTCTGCTACAGTGCTTCAGGATATATGACCAGATTTCCAAATCACCTTCTTGCCCGAAAGTACAGACCCAAGGACCCGAAGACCAGGACGAAGGACCAAACGACCAGAGGACCAAGGGACCAGAGGACCAAGGGCAGGGAACCAAGGGCAGGGAACCAGAAGACCAGAACCAAAAGGAGTAGGGGGAATGTTCTTTTTGATACGAATTAATGTTTTTTTGATAGGAATCAATGTTCAATATTGATAGGAATATATATTGTTTATTTTTTGCTAGGTATATATCCCGTGAGACACGGGGGTTTTGCGGGAAGACACGGAAGGGAGGAAGACATGGTATGAGGCAGTTGGATCATTGGATCATTGGATCCGATCAGATCACAGAACTCCCACGTTTGAAGGATCCACAGGACGCAGCATCCAGCTCCCGCCCAAACCCTTGGTTCCTCTTTGCCGCTTTGGCCATTGATCTCTTTGATCTTGGCCTCAGGTGCATGGCTCGACCTTTTTGGGCACTGACTCGACCTTCGGGGGGGTCTAAGGATCGATGCCCAAAAGAAGTGGCGGCATGGGAAGGGCCAATTCGGAGGTCTGGGCAAACATATCCCATCTTTCAGTCACTGCAATGGGAATGACTGGGAATGGCCTACACCGTCGTTCCAAGGCAACTCCACGACCCAAAACCCATGGGGACCACGAGGCTCTTGTAATTAGCTAGGTTCGAGCAGCGCATCGCCTGCGACAAGCTGCTACTGTTCCGACATTTTGCTAGTCTGCTAGTGCTAGCATGAGTGCTGGTACGGATAGACGACTATAACAATAAGAATGCTAGTACCGAGGATTATGAAATGTCGTAAAAATAAGGTGCCCCCCTATGACGAAGCAGACAAACGTCAGGCCACTTCAAAACAATGGCATTGCATAACCCATTATAACATATTATAACGCCTGGCTCGACAAACGCAAACAGTCATACACTGACTCGCTTAGAGTCGTCTTAGAGTCTTAGAGGGCATCTTCGCAACAGGATTCGTGTCGAGGTGACATAGAGCGCCGACAAAACCCAGGGTATGTGATAGTCACCGATCTTCCGATAGTCCCATCATGACCTGTGACCACTTGCAGAAGGGTTAGGATAACATGTATCCTTGACCAGGTAGGGGCCACATGCGTTGTCTTTATCAGTCGCCACACACGGCTTTCTCACACCCAACCCGGCACGTTTGCCCAGTCGCATGGCAAGTTTCAAAGAAGGGCGATGCAGGACCCGGCTCGAGGAGAAACCACCCTGGCCACACTCAGTGCCAGTGTCCAGTGGACTCAAGTGCTTCGATCGTTTCGGTTCGATGCGTTCGATCCGGACTACCCTTTTGTGCGGGGGGGCACCATCCAAGTGTATAGTATATATTGTGGAGTATTACATGGGCATACAAATGGCCTCAAATGGCAACTTTTGGCACACCATGCTTCTCGGCCTCCCAGGTTGGTGCCCCGCCAGGGTGGCTGGGCCCAATGGGCTTGGTGAAAGGCCTGCAGCGCATGCGCCAAGCAGCGCTGCGGCGTGTCCCGGTCGCTGCTGGGGTCGCAGCGGTGACGCCAGTAGAGTCCAAATCTGGGCCGGGACGTCGGGAGAGCACCGACGTGGCTGATCGGATTTGGGATCAGCGATAGAGGTGGTACGACCAACTGAAGAGAAAGAGGCGGTTCACATACAAGTTCAAGCTCGCCAAACCATCTACGAGGTCTCCTCAAAAAGGTCTCCTCGTTCGAGGGTTGGGAAGGGTGCCCCCCAGAAAATCAAGTCTCAATTGGTGATCTGTAGAGTTGGATGCTAGCTGCCAGCATAGAATCTTTTGCAACAACCTCCCGCAGCCCAGCTGGGATCTGAAAATCCCCACCGCTCGCGGAGAGAAACCCACGTCCAAGGAGCTGGGTGGCCATCCGAGTCAACGCGCAGAAGGCGTTACCGCCGCTTTTTCCAGCGCTGGCCTTGAGAGGAGCTGAAGTTCATCCCTTTGGGCCCCTTGGGGCTGCGTAGATCTGAAGAGTTAGAATGGACCCAGGAAAGACCCAGGAATGGACCCATTCCAACTGCCAAAGAAAGTATCTCTTCCGCGGCAACTCTGCGCCGATTTTCTCATTAGTTGCATAGGCTGTAGCAGGGTTGAAATCTTGGCCTTGCTTGGCCCCATTAAGATCATTAATGAATATTAAGAATGTAGACTCTAGACCATCCGAACACATCACATGGAAGTGGATAGCATGGACCCTTGGATGACGAGGGTCCTCTACCAACAGGGTGGGCCATCTACTTCCATGTTAGTGAGCCGGAGTGTATAAGTAAGAGTAAGAATATATGTGTGAAGCTCCAGGTGGCATTTGCTGAAGAGTCTTGGCAAGTGGATTGAATGCAGGACGCATTTCCAGTGTGTGTGTGTGTGTCTTCTGGTTTCCAGGTCTGTTTGCTCTGGCGAAGTCAACCAGGACAAATTGAACCAAATCCGCGGTTCAACCAAGCCGCGCGTTAGGGTCCAACGGGGCCCTTTCTCGGCTTGATCTCCCAAGAGTGTTAACAAATTGACAGCGTGTGCACACAGAGGGTCAGCATGACCAGGCATCAAACAAATTGATGAAGTCGACCACAGGTGCACAACAAAAAGGCATCTGAACTTTTGCAAGGATGGATGGCAAAGTAGTCAGGATCGTCAGGCATGCCTGCTGCTACAAAAGCAGACCCAATCTGTTTGATGCATTAAAGCTCAAAAAATGCAACAGACATGAAGAGATGCATATGTATGATTATGTATGCAAATGATTGCATATGTTGCTTTCTTTCCTAAGGACCAAGTGACGCCCCAACCGAATGCCCCAGACGTCGCCCGTGCGAACGACGCCTGGCGCTCAGTCGATGGCCGCGAGCTCGGCGAGCTCTTCGCTGCGTGGGAGGCCAGCTCCACCACGGCCTGGGCGGCGGGGTGTTGGAACGAAGCGAACGTGGTAGTAGCTGTCCTTGCTCCGTTCGTAGCGATGCCCTTTGCTACTAGTAGCTTCTTGCGGAGGGATGTGGATGACATGCTGTGCCATACCCCTGAGCCACTCCCTGAGCCACTCCCTGAGCCATACCCGAGTGCCAGGAATATGGCCAGGAATCTCATGAGATGTGATGGTCATCGAATTTTAAGCATACTATCACAAAATACTCAAGCCAGAACCCCAGCCTGATTGGTCAGCGTAGATCTTGCAAGTTGGTTCAAGAAATCTGTTGGCACTTCTGAAGTTGAAATTTCAGAAGTTGGCACTTCTGAACAGAGTGGCCCCTGTGCCACTGTGGCCGATTGGTCACTTCTGAAGTGGAATTCTCTTGCCAGTCATGTTCCCCGCTTGCGGGCCCAGTGCTTCGCCACGACACTCCACGCCTCGACCACCGGGCGCCACTCCTCCCAAGACTCGCCAGCCGCTTGGCGCGTGCGTGCAAGGGCGTCCGCCAGGCTGTGCGAGAGCTCCTGTGAGAAGCTCCGCGAGGTGCCGCGGCTTTCATGGCAACCTAGACCAAAACCCCTGAGCATGCACAAGTTGTGTGTATATGTTAGTGGTTTGGATCCCATCTAAGCATACCTAAGCTAATTCGGAGTAATATGGAGTGATCACCACAATGAAAAAGGTTGAAAGTTGAAAGTAAAAAGGCTCACTGCCAACCATGCAAACGGATATCACTTGGTCCCATCGATTGGTAGAATGTGATTGCAAACTGTTCTTCATGTTCGGGAGACCCGTGTCAACCATGCACCCGAAGCGGCTTTGGGGGCAGGAGAAGCATCCCAAAGGGGGAAGCCAGATTCGGCCCGGGATCCGGAGAATAGGAAATGACCATCAACTCATGTGCGGGTTCTCTTCTGGAAGGCTTACATGATAACTCTTTGGGGCGGGGGAAAGACAGTGGTGTCAGAGGTTCGATGGCACAATCCCCAAGTTTGGTGGTGTAGATGGACCCCCACCTGTCTGAGACATCTTGAGGTGCCAGTGCCATGGAACCTCTGAAACCACATATCTCCTCTTACCAGTAACAGATGTAACAGTGGATGATGACCCCCATGGGATGTCCGTTCGACAGATGGGGGTCCATCTAAACCACCGACAGGGTCGCCCTCGAACCTCTGAGTCGTCAGTCCTCAGGAGCTCTTGGCACCTTGGCCAGCTCGCTCAGGTAGGCGGCCGCACCGTCTGAGCACCGCCGAACTCGCCAACCCAACACGGGGAAGCTTTCATCGGAATAAGAGCGCCTCGAGGTTTGGGGAGGCCTCTTCCTCATGTTGCAGTACATGTTCATTCATGTTCCAAGGACAAAACAGGTCCAACATCCTTTTGCAGGTCCTGAGCTGGTTCGGCGATGGGACTGGCATATTCACCTCTAGATTGGGGTGTTCGTTCCAAATGTTTCGTTCGGGTCAATGGGTAGGTCTGGCCTATCTCCTTGCACCACCGACTCCGACGGACCCCACGCCTGGCTGGACCACCTCAGCACCTGCTTTGGCCGCGGCCCAGGCGGCCCAGCGGCACTGGGAAGCCAAGGCGTAGCTGACCTCTGCGGTCTCCGAGCGGGGAGGTGGCAAAGAAAACCCCCATGACCACCGATCAAAGCTGTGAAAAGAGCAGAAGATGCCTAACAGTGTCGTGAGTGATCCGCATCTCTCTCTTGTTTGAGGGGGGTGGCCTTTGGTGAGGACTTGGAGGTCACACCGGCGTCATTCGATGGGTTCCATGATGCTGTCATGATGATTCAACGGCTGCTTGCTTGCTGCGTTTTCCCGCCTCCATGGCCTGGCCCCAGGACGCGCCAAGTCAGGCACGGAGGCGTCCACAGCTGTGCGGCCCAAAGCTGGTGGATGTTTCAGCTGAATCTTGCTCGGTCCGCTTCAACCCTCCAAAAGTGGCGAGGGAATCTCTACTCTAGCTCCTTCGAACAGAGTTGCTAGGAACTGAATCGAACAGAGTTGCCAGAGCTCTTTGTAGAGGGAAAATGCTCTTCTAGGGGCCTGTGCTCCACTTCCATGATGATGTTCTACAGTAAGTTCTTAAAGCCCCCACGGCACCCTAAGGTTGTACTCAGTTGTCCTACAGGTTCCGGCTCTGTGTTCTACACACATCTACAAGAAAGGAAGACAAGCCAACATCTTCTGTTCTTGCGCTGGCTTCTTGGGCGATTCTGATGGAGACAGCCGAGACCGTCATTGAGACTAAACCTCGATCGCTCATGGCTTCGTGGATCGCCCAAAGTCAGTGTGGTCAGCCGTTGATGTGGACTACACTCTGACTCACTACTGGTAACATGGAAGTGGAAAGCCCCCCCGTTCGTGAAGGAAAGTAGTCTTCCAAGGGACCATGTTCCACTTCCAGGTTCGGTGAGTCCGAGCGTCCGGTATTAGTATTTGTTGATGAGCCAGTTGGCTGCGGTCTCCTTCAAGCTCCCGGTTCTCCCATCATCTCCCCTCAGCAGAAAGCTTTGGAGGTAAGGATCAACTCTTCTCCCAGTCTAGCTTGCTGTGCTGGCATCATGATCTACAAGAAGAAAAGGACAAACAGCGACAAACACCTACTGTGACAAACGGGCAAAGTAAGTGCCTGCAGGCTTTTCGACACAACATGAAATGCTTAGCAGCGTTTCAGCACACCTACACTCCGATACCCCGTTTGCCAAATGTAATCAGGGCTCCCCCTCAGCCCGAACCAACCCTTTCGCAGGTTGACGGTTGACCCTTGTTGGCATCACTTCGATTTCTCTCATCCTTGAACTCCGCACCTCTGATCTCCCTCCGCACCTCTCGATCGCGCCAGCTGGCGCAATCCCCCAGAAGAGCCATGTCGATCGGTGATCCAAGGCGCCTTTGGATTTCAGATGGGCCTGTGGGTCCATCTTCTGCTTCAAATCCTGCGCCCGTGCCGGTCGAAGAAGTCGGCGGTAGAAGCCACTCCCAATGACTCAATGCTGCACCGTCATGCGAAAGCACCCAGCCAAAACGTGCTGCAAGCAACTTCCAAGACTCGCATTCCGAAACGGAGGTCCTTGTGCTTGAGCAGTATGTGCCTCGCCCGCACCTGAAGTCCGGACAGCACCCAGCAGAAGTCACATCCCCTAAAGTCCCTTCAGAATCACATCGGTCAGGCCTTCTCGGTGCCATCCTTCTTGGCTTTCTTCGCTGCTGGCTCCACATAGCCAGGCCCGACCTGTGATATTAATGGGCCCGCGGCCCAAGTAGGGAAGACTTGCTTCCACATCACCATCACCGGTCAGCGAGGAAAAAGCGAGCGAGCCGTACTTGCCCAGCGGCATGGAACTCCCCCACAACATCCCAAAACCAACCCCCCCTCGTGATGAATTAGCGTTTCTATGCGTTTCTGTCCTCTTCAGAATCTATGTTTGCGGAGGGCACGTCGTTGCGCCTTCTTTCCGGAGAACCGCCCCACCCCACGAGGAGGTTCAGGCTCCCACCTCAAAGACTCCGACGATGCAGCAGCCGAAACGCTGGGGTCCTTTGGCGCCCAGCCTCGGTGCGACCGAGGCTGTGGAGCGAAGGGGTTTGCCAAGGAAGGCCACTGGCACCATACTACACCAGGCCGCATGGGGTCACCGGTCAGGCTCTAAACCCTACACGACATCGGGCCCGGCTCCAGTCAGGAGCAAGAGCACTATAGGTGTAGTGAGTTCGAGTACAGTAGATGTTCAGAGTTGATCCAACCCCAAAATTGCACCGCCGCGCTACTCACCCCCTTCGACAACGAATAGCTACTCCAGGGCACAACTGGAAGCAGGCAGAGACTTTTTGTAGGGGAGATGACGGGCTTCCAGTGGTTTTTCACACGAGCGAGTTCGTGCACCAGCTTCGGTAAGGTCTTCACTAATTACAGATATATTATATAGGCTCCTGTCCCCTCCTTGCTTTCACCACCTCGTCCACCTGGGCATCCCGGGCTGCGCGTTTCGCGCGGCCGCATCAGCGGCCACCAGCAGCGAGGCGGCCTTTGGCTGCCCTGCGAAGCCGCGGATGCGGTTGATGACCTGGGGCAGTTGCAGCTGGTCGGGAGAGCCTTCTGGCGACTTCGAACCCCACCCCGGTCGGGCCAACGAGGACGGCCCCCGGTGGAGTCCTAAAGCGTCGACGTGCTCATTCCCACCTCCTGGTCGCTCAAAGAGGTCGCGCCTGAGCCTCGGTGAAGCGTGGTCTTTTTGAGGAATGTGCGGAGCACCGGAGAGTGGTTGGCTTGCTTTAGGGTTGGCAGGGTTCCACATGCCAGGGATCCAGATGCCAGAAGATAGGAATGATTTGTATATAGAGACTGCACAAACCGATAGGTTGTCCCTAGCCTTCAAAGTGCAAACTTTGTAAAACAATGGTTCTTTGGTAGGGACCATTGAATCTGCCGAATCCCAGGGTTATGGGTCGCCACGGCTCCAACGTACAGTGCGCCAAGGCTCCAACACTTTTGGGAGGGGTCTGGCGGATCTTCCTCCAACATCCAGCAATCCAGAACAGGCAGCTTGGCGGTGTGAAGCCCACGACGACAAACATGTGTCGCCACAGAAGAGACCCAGTCAGCCTGCCAAAACCTGAAACAACCAGATGAAACAACCCATGAATGCCCCCCCGTCAGAACTCAGGCGGCTCAAATCCTCCGAATCATTGGACGCATTCACTGAGACCTGCACTCAGAAGCACCAAATGATGCCTCACCAGGCGGTGTCGCAGGCCGGTTCGCAGGCATGCGCCGCCGCCGCGCCGCCAGGCTATAAACACCAGCCAAAAGGGGCCACGTCAGACCTCCTGGACCTCCTGGACCTCCTGCTTTAAACATCCTTATAAGTCTCATCTTCCCGACTGAGGGCCCAAACCGCGCTCGTGCTGCATCGAGGGGATCCCCCCGGAGTCACCCTCCCGGTCTCGTACGCGGCCCAACTCCCGACGGCTCTCAGTGCTCCACGAGCCCAAGGACTCGAGCGGCAGGATGTCAATCTCACCGCAGGTCGGAGGCGCAGTTTTCGGGCCGATCGGGGACCAGCGGCGCAGGCAGTGGGGGGCCCCTTGCAGTCTTCAGAATCACTTAAAGTACAGGTTCGCAAATGTGTTGCAGGTACCCCCTGGCATCCCCTGGCCAAAAGCTCTTGACGCCAATCTTGCTTGCATGTTGTTAGTTTGGATGTAGCGTAGCGGCGTATCGTGTCTCAAATCCGGTTTCATGGGGGGGAAGCGCAAAGCGGGCCATCCACGTTCCAGCAGCGCCTGAGGTTCGGAGGACACCACCTTTCTCGGCAGCTTGAGGTCTCTCAAGCCGAGCGCTCGAGTCACCTGGGCAGCGCCAGATCTGCGCTGAACTTGACCAATCGACGGAAGACTGTACGACGACCCAGAACGGATGGTACCAATCATGGGTCGACCCAGCAGCCTAGTCGGAGATCTCAGGGTGGGCCTTTCTTCACCACCCCCTCACACGACGTCACTGTTCGGGCGACGTTCGGCGATATCGGGCGACGCCTGCACCGGCTTCAGCGCCACAAAGCCTGGCGATGGGTTCCATCGTGAACATCGCGATGTCAACGGTGGCAGGTTTGCACGGAAAGCTCCAGAGCGTGGAGAATGAAAGAACAAGTAAACAACAACTTTTAAAATAACCTGTTGAAGAACAAAAAGGATGCGATCGGATCATGAGCCTTGGTTGTTTCTTTCCTGTCTGATTTTTTGTAATTTGGAAGTTGTATGAAATGTTTAGCACACAAAAAGTAGAACATATTTTTAAAAAAAGAAAGTGAAGGACTGCCGAATGTTCCAGATGAATCACACACGATCCAGATGAATCACATGCATTTCGGCGAAGAATGGACCGCGAGAGTTCTGGAGGGGGAGTGCAGGGTGTGCTAGAGCTTTTCCAAACAAGTTCCAGCACTGCTGCACTCACCGCCTGACCGAGCAAATGTCAGCTTCCAACGTCACCCAGTCTGGCCTTCTCCCTTGCTGGCTGTCAGGGCAGCCGGCTCCTTAGAGGAGAAACCCGCAAACCAAAGCGACGCGTTCGTCTCTATCCCATGACCTTTAACAGGCCTTTCTCTAAAAGGCCTTAGTGAGAATTGTAGGACCTGACTCTGTCGCAGGACCTGGAACGGCAATAGGACAGACCCAATGCATTCTATATACTGGTTCCAGCACTGGTTCCAGCATGTTACGGCCACACTCCTGGAGTGGATGGGAAATCGTTCGTGCGCCGCACCGCGGCAATCGCATGTTGTGTCCGGGATGGCTCCACCGTCCCCAAGACTTGATGATGAATAGCGTGGCAACTGTCAACTCATCTGGGTGTGAAGTTCTCATCTTCCCCATTCCAGCTGTCAGTCCCAAAAAGAATGAAGTTGGATAATGCTGGAGATTGAGACACAGTCATCTATGGAAGCCAAAAAGGTGCCCTCCTGGGGGTCCAGGGAAGCCTTCCAAGGTATTCTTTCGAAAAAACGGGGAAAAGTCCATGTTCCATGACCATCTCCGTCCCTCTCCGGGCTCCCTCTCCGTCCCGCTCCGGGGAGCCCAAATATCCACCTGGGCATCCCTAGCAGCGAAGGCCTCTGCAGCCTCCTCGATCATCCGCACGGCCTCGGCCTCGCGGTCGGAGGACGTTCGGGGGCCGGCGTCGTGGTTTCAGCCGGTGTTGGGGGCGGAGGTCAGAATGTCATATATAAACAGTGTGGTGTCCACATACCCTCACTCCCATGCTAGTGATTCGGAGTGCATGTTCCTTCCTGATACTGCCCTTTCGAGTCGACTGAGGACCAACATTCACGTCTTCGTCGTCTTAGTCGCTTGAAACCCGGTGCTCACTCACGCAGCACGACTAAGCCCAAACGATCCCAAACATAGATGGTCCCCGACGGTGATGATCCAAAACGCTCATGCTGCAAAAGTGTTTCAAATTAGATTCAAAATCCGTTATTTGTTCTCGATGTTTTGCTCGCCGAGCCTGGTCTGGATGGCCATAATTCCCATCCGTGAGCATCCCAAGCTTCATGATTTGCTCTCGCAACTCCTTGGCGCCAGCGTGACGGGCTTCTTGGCGAGAGCACCAGGGACAGGGCATCGGTTGGAGCATCCATTTCACTGGTGCTCGTGGGGTGAAATGCTTCTCCTCTCCCCCTGCCAATTTCCCCTATACTTTTTAATGACCACTGTCACCACCAGAATACCGTCACTCTCCAACGGTTCATGGCTTATAGGTCGTTTGACTCCCAATCCTATCAATCCAAACATTCTTTGACCAAACCTCCACATGATCACCACCTGAAAGAACTGAGCCGCCGCAAGCCTTGTTCTCACCTGACTCATCTTCCAACGCTGCACTTATCAGCAGCAAACACTCTCTGAAAACGAGCGCACTTCAGCATGTGTCTACCAGGCTGGCGTCATGTTCTTTCTCAACATCCTGCATCAATCTTCTGCGCCCTACGTCTCGCCCGCTGCAAAGCGATAAACCTCCATGTCTGCCCGGCGGCTCAGCTGTCGAGCAGAGCCGCGCCAGGGCTGCAAATCCAGCAATCCCTCAGAGAGCTCCTCCAAGGTGAAGGCTGCAGGCATGTGCGAAGCGCCTGCGCCTGCAGGCGCTTCGCAAAAGTATTCCTGCTTCACTGCATCCCAAGTGCACTTTGGCATTCCAGGACCGCAGGAGCAGAAGTCCTGATGAGCATATGGCATCACCACCGACTTGACCTCCTCATCGCGGAGTAGCAAGGCCACGGCGAAGGTCCGTAAAGGATTGTTCCCCCAGCGGTGCAACCAAAAGCCTCCCACCGAATCCATGTAGCGGAAGAAATCCTGGTACGTCTCGCTCCGAAACCAATCTAAACGAAGCACTTCGATGTCCAGCATTAGGCATTGCTGGTACCACTTGAAATTCTTCTCGATGAGCGCGGCAATCATCTTGCTCCGCCGTGGATCCAACTTATGAAGCCTGCAGTAGAGTAGAAAATAATGCATAAAGTTCACCACGACACTGGCCGACTCCCGTCCCAGGTGTGGAAAGAGGGCCGTCAAACCGCTGGTGTGAAGCACCTCAAAGGGATCCGAGCCAAAGTGCGCCGGGAAATAGGAATCCGTATCCAGCGTCATGGCGTAGTCGAAGCCCGCCAGCGCCGGTTCCAAGAACAGCGGCCCCGAGCGCCAGCGTGTCATGGCGCGGTAGCCCACGGAGAAGTCGGCCGCCCGTTGCCGGGAGGCTTCGGCCCATTCAGGTGGAATCTCCTTGAAGCGCGGCACCAGCGCAAACCAGAGGCGATTCAAAGAGGCCAAGACCAAGCGGCGACGGGCCGCAGGCGTGAGGCCTTCGTGGAAGACCACCACGGGATAATCCACTTGGTGGTTGTAAAACTGCCAGAGGCTTTTCAGGGAGCGCTCCATGTCCAGCAAGTCCCGCTCGGTTTCCGCCATCATGTAATGGATGGCCGCTTTGATGTCCTGCGGGACGAGTGGCGGGTCCTCCAATTCGCAGAGCTCACCACGATAAGGAGGAAAACATTCACAAATGCCCTCCCCACAACGGCCATGTGGCACTGGGCCACGTTCCAAGAAATAGCGCAAGCCGGGCGTTTCCGCCATCACCATCACAGCATACTCCTGCATTCGGTCTCTCTCGGTTTTGGTTTTGAAGGGCTTCATCTGCAACTCCTGGGTGAAGGCTTGCCTCCCCCAAATCTCCAAGTCAAAAATGAATCGCGCGTGTGGGGAGCAGTGCCACCCTCTCAGCCAAGCAGTGTAGGGATCGACAGCTGCCACTGGCCCCGCGAGCTGCTGAAAGAAAGGCCGCCACAAGAAAGTGGCGTAGGTATGCTCGACATGGAGCAACTCATAGCCGTATTCATTCAGAGTGTTCACTGTGGCCGACAGCGAGCATTGAGCGAACCAAATGGAAGTGGTCACAGGTAGGCTGCCGTAGGCATCACCAACAGCTGTCACGCCTTCCATCAGCTGTCTCATAAAAATGAAGCCATGTTCCTGCGTGTGCCGCTCTTGGTCATATCGGTGTTACTACACCGGCCCACTAGCATGGAAGTCCAGAAAACTGTTCGTAACCAGGGGCGAGAGAGAAAAAAAAAAACACCCCAATGGTAGAGAGTCGGACCCTATGAAACAAGTTAACCTTTTGGATTCTGCTTTCATGGTCACACACACCAGAAGTAATGAGAGCAATGATCACACACCATCTGAACAGTTCATGGTCACCCCTGGTCACCAGAAGAGTTGAAAAAGCTGTATTTTGAGCAGGTCGGTGTTCATTCCACCACGCGAAGAAGTCTGGCTTCTCGTTGTAACTTGGTTCAATCAGTGGGTTGAATGGCATGTAGACGATCTTCGGCTTGATGGTGCCCGTGCCCATCAGGCGATCAATGATCTGGCAGTTCCCCACAAAGGGGCTGATGAACAGCGTGTCAGGACCTGACCGGGATTGGAATGAAATTAGACACCTGAAGTACCCAGGGAAAAGAACACCCTCTCCCAAAAGAAAACGGATCACCGGATCGGAGCCCGCATAAGTCTGAGGGGCTATGATGGTTCATGGATTTGAAGAGCGACACCAAACTGCTCCACTGCGTATCCATGCTGGGCACATGCACGTGATGCACCTCGAAGCTGGCTAGGTCGCCATGGGGACCCAAAGGACGTCCGGAATACACGACCGAAACATTGAAGGGAGGCAGTGGATTCAAGTGAAAGAAGTAGCCAGCCCACTGGCGCTCCACCAGGCAGTGACTGGGATCATAGATCACCTGCTTGGAGCCACACTTTGAGGCCGGCGTCAACAAGTAGGGAGAGACCTCGGAGGCGGACGCAAACCTGGCAAACTCACCAAACCCTGATCTCTGTTGTAAACTTCCATGGTGGGTAATAAAGAGACCACTCCTCCGCACAAAATGAACATAGCATAAAAGCACCCAACACAAAACTCATCCCTCAGGCAATCCCGAGGAGACCTGCACCGAGATGAACAAGTTGGAAAGCCGTGTGCCTCGGCTTGCCACTGCTTGCAGCAGCTGTAGGGGCGACGGCACTCGCCGATGAGCCCCAGTCACATCGCGATGAGACCAGCCGCCAGCTTCATCCAGGAACTCCAAAGGCACGCCTTTGGGCACTGCTGATGTCACTGGCAAGGTGTCGCACACCTGGAACTTGCCATGCAATGAAGCTTGGTAGATGGGCGAGGGCATGTCGCGCAGCATGGACAGAAACTCTGGCTTCAAGGTCAGCCGGTCGTCTTGATGCTTGAAAACGTCCACGGACGTCGCATATTCTTGCCGCGCGTGCTCCGCCGTATCACTCTGCCCCGCCGGGGTCATCTCACGCACGACGTAGTTGGGCGCACGGAACATGCTGCTCATGTCCTCGGACAAGGACCGCGCAAAGTCCACGGTCATGGCCAGAAACCTGCCGGGAGACCGACCGCCGCGCGACGGGGAGAGGGCGTTCTGAAATAGAGAACGTGGACGAGAAGTCAGTGAGCAACTGATCTACATCATTGAGCCCATCTTGCGTCATGCCATTCTAGCCACCAGCTGTCACTAACAGATCTTCTTTGGATGCTTTTCGAGACCCCCAAAAAAGTGGTGACCTCTAGGAGGATGCTGAGGGGTGGAGTCACCTACCAGCTCAGGTGGAGTCACCCTGCCTTTGCACCAAGACTTCGATTGAAGAGAAAGCCTCCTGCTCCATGACAAAGCCACCGTGAGATCGTGCATCAGCCGCCCAGGTCTCCAAGCGCAACACCAAAGCCAAAAGCTCCTTCTCCTCACTTAGTGCTGGTTTGCCACACAACATCATGCATGTATGTTCAACTCCGAGGTTGATGATTAAAATCATTTAAAATCCAGCTTTCGCATGAAGTCACCATCTCAACCAACTGAGGAGAGATGTCGATGTCTGGGCCTTTCAAGAGGTCGAAGAAGACGGCTTGGGTGCCCAAACGGTCCGACTTCCGAGGCTCGAGTGGTCCCCCGAGGTCCAACGTGGTCCCAGTCAACGCCTCCGTTTCACCGGTCGGACCACTCGGTGAGCGATCCCTCGTCTTCCCCGTATCACCTGCGTGGCTCGGTCAAGCGACCAAAAAAAGGGGCTCGGGACGCCCCGAAGCAAGTGAGGGATAATCCGGATGGTATGATATCATATAGGTTCTTTGGGCCACCAGAATCCGTGTGATTGGAGTTGAAATAACAAGAAGTTCTAAGGTGAGTGAGTTCAAAGGCCCTTCGATTTCAAAGGCATTTCTGCCAAAAACAAGTCTCTGAAGGCTCCCAAGCACTGGATATCTCTTTCATCATCTGCTCAGTGAAGACTTCGGTTGAGCCCGTGCGGGCCAATTGCCTCACGTCCGAGAAATAGTGCCGCAACCATTTGGAGGGCAAAAGCCTTTCCTCCAGGGCTGCACCAACGCCTGCCTCTGGCGAAGGATCCTCGAAATAAATGGGGCACACCTTGGATTGCTCTTTGCAAGCTCGATGGGAAAACATAGAAAAAACACATCGTGATCGATGTATAACCTAGGGTGGGTTCCCTCACCGCAAATATGCCACTGCCTCGACCCATAGGATCTAGGAATGGGACCCTACCAGAGCCTCCCAGAACCCCACACACCCCACACACCCAAACTCCTTGGAACAAAAGAAACTACACCCCGGGAAGAGACCCAGATGGAACCTGAAAATGGACCTGCAAGGAAGACTATATATGATACTATATTAAATATGTTCAATGGTCTTTTCTTTCCCACCCGAGGTGCTTTTCAGGTTCCATGGTGGGGTCTCTTTCTTCCTCTCTCTTCCGCGTCCAGGTCGACCCAGCACCGAACACCGCCATCGCCCGCCAACGCCCACCCGCGCCCACCTCTTGTTTCTACTAGCTTCTTGTTACTACTAGTAACAAGTGCCTCGCTAGTAGTAACAAGTGCCTTACTAGTAGTAACAAAAAGCTATTTGAATTAAACTAAACTTAAATTAATAGCTTCTTGTTACTACTAGTAAGGCACTTGTTACTAGAAGCGATGCACTTGTTCCGTTCGTAGCTTCGCCAGCACTTGCCCAGGGCACCAAGAAGCCCACGGTCTGCCGCATCGCCTCCACGACCCGCAAGACGCTGCGGCAGATCCGGTCCACCTGGAAGACGGAGATCACCTCGATAACCTGCGTCGCGTCGCTTCCGTTGACCGTCACCGTGGCTTTTGGGGATGGAGACGACTTGGTGGACCCCCCAAGAGGTCAGACAAATCCCCCAAAAAAGCGCGAACAGAATCCGTTCCTGGAATCTGTCGCCGTGTTTGGTAGATCCTTCTGGGTCTGGAAGACGGACTTGGCCTATGTTGTTTTGCTGTTGGTTGATGTATCTTTAGCGTCTGCCGCATGCACACCATCCATCCTCCACCGCCAAACCCGCGCATCAGCGGCATCGCTGGAATGGCCTCATAGTGCCTCCCACCCGTGAAGTTGAAGTGGATCTCAGCAATCTCTGCAACCACTGGCTCGACTTGGCGGTGAAGCGTCAAGAGAAGCTGCAGGTCCTGAGCTGATCAGAGAAGCATGTCCGAGTTTGTTCGGATGTGCCTTTGACTGCTGGAGAGGAATGAGGAGGACAAAGAACAATTTCGCACCTCCCAAAAAGCTGACCCTCTACATTTCCCCACATCTAACCAGGCCCGTTTTCCACGTCAAAGAAACCATCTTGGCCAGGAAACACACTTCAAGGGCTCCGGACCGGAGCCTCTACTCAGCGCACTCAAGGCCAGGAAAGCCCAAGCTGTTTGACGAAAGCACCACATGGAAGTTGCAGCACTCGCAGCAGCAGCAGCAGCTGCGCCGTCTCGGCGTCGGTGGAGTCGGCGGTGCAGTCGGCTCGAACAACTCGACCGCTCGCTCGGTCACCGGATCCGTCTCATTCTGCGCATTGGTCAAAGGCCGACAGTTGAAGCATAAGGGTCCATACTGAAATGACGTATTCACCTGGCCTGTGTTCAAGAAGAATGAGTGGCCAAACCATGTTGTACTTGTGGTTTGTGGGTGGTGGGTGGGGTGGGGTTTGACATAGCTTCCTTGCGCACAACTGATTGATGCTAGCGAACCCATGTTGCAGGGTGCCACTGTTCTTGTGCCGCTTCTTTTTGGCCAAATCATCCCGGCACAGCGCTGGAAAATCATTGCAGAATCATGCCAAATCAACGCGTTGGAAGTACAAAAAGAAAAGAAAACAGAACATAGTCTTGAAACGGCTCCTGTTGCTGATCCCTGGATACTGTTGGAAGTCAAAAACAAGCTTTGTGGTGCTTCGAGGGTTTTTTTCTTCCTAGAACCTACCCCTGAATACCCCTGATTGCTTTTATCATCTCACTCCCTGGCAAATCTCTGAGTGGTGCGCTCGGCCCTTCTTGCCGGCCTGGCCACACAAGTTGAACATCTTCCTCTGATCATGAAGACTGTGTTGATTTGCGAATGCATATCATGTGAAGTCGATTCATTTTTTCCATCGGCCGACGTCAATCGGAGTTGTCAGTTAGCGAATAGTGCAGTCACTCCGTTGTTGAGGGCCCTTGAGCATATCGGCGCGACACTTGCCTAAAAAGGTGATTTCCCCACGGCCGCGCATTCGACCGTGCTGTTCGATTCTCGTTGAAGACTTCGTGAGCTTTGACATCAAGTTGAGAGACTGCATATGCTTCTGAATGCCATATATATCCGCCCAACCAACCATGAATCTGCTGTGCATATACATTTAACATATATGTTAACTGCGCGGGGTACTTTGGAATCAACTTTTGCCTTGTACCGTATAATAGCAAAAACACAGCCACCTCCCCCCCAGCATGAAATGAACCTGACAAAGTCAGAGGCCAAAGACCCAAGCAAGCAAGAAACTGTCCAAGAACATATAGACATGCACAAATGCTCCTCCACAAAGAAGTCGTTTCTAGTCTTGGGCAATCAACACGAAGCACGTGTAAACAAAGTGACCAGGCCGGTCGCTACATGCCATGCCAAACAGTCGCCATTCTACTCTTCGGACCCCTCGTTCTTCCACCCAAGAATAGCTCACCCTTCAAACCCAAGGTGCCAACCACCGACAAGGCTGACAGATGGGGGACAGATGGGCCGCAAGCTATGGATCCCCCATCTTCACTGTCCGGGCTCCTTCGGAGGTCTTCGGCGATGCGCTTTCGGCCGAGCTCGGCCTCCTCGGTGGTCGACTCCTCCGCCACGCCCAGGACCTTCAGCGCCGTGGCCTCGGTGCCGCGGTGCCATGGGCGCTGTCTCATGAGAAAGCCTGGTGGAGGCTGAAGCAAGGCGGCAGGAATCCGGAAAGAGCTCCATCCAGACGGAGAAGTCCGGGACATCGCTGAGACACACAGCCCGGTTCGTGGTTCGATTACAATACGACAGTAAGACGGGTGAGACGCTTGACCGGCCATGAGCAACATGGAGAATGACCGGCTTTGGCACCAACACGTCCGCAATGCGTGGCCAACACGTCGGGCTCATTATCATGGCTAGCTACGCTTTGTCCAGGTCCATGTGGCCCGCCTTTGTTTGAACCCTGTAGCCGTCCAATGACGATTTAATGGCTTTTACCGAAGAACCATTGTTACACTTGAGGAATTTACACTACAACAACAGGTCAGCCTTTCTTTTAAAGGTCTTGGAAGGCTAGGGTTAATGATTTGCTGCATTATATACAGTAATGCAGCGTAAGCTCTGCCACGGCTCCAAAAGAAGCTTGGTGAAGTCTGGAAGTCTAGAACGTCGTGCTGCCAAGTGGAACATGCCAAGAAAGCCGCTCACCCTACTCGCTCACCCCCCGCGTCTGACAGACCGGGGGGTCGGTGGAGCTGGGCCAATCAAACTCCTTGTGTGACAGGCTTCGAACCTCGCTGACTTCCATGCAGTCAGCCTACCAATTAGCTTACTATTGGATACACAAAACCTGGCGGTTCTTGGAGGTGCCCCGAGAGGTGATCCGTCTCCCCGAGACCGGGAGGAGTCTCAAAACCAACGTGGGACTTCTGATCGAACTTCGGAACATCCGTGGAACATCCTTCAACCCTTTGCGATGCACTTCCGAACCACGACCCGGCCCACCAGCCTCCACCAAAACACCGCCATCTTCTCCCCATCGACGCCCGACCCTGTCGCGGCTATCTCGGATGGTCTCAGCGGCTCGCGACATCGAGGCGTGCCGCGCGCCAGCGGCGTGGAGCACGCGCTGCAAGCACTGCGTGGCCTCGAGGTCCGTCTCGCTGAAGGCCTCGAGGTCGACGGCGCGCAGCCGCGCGCGTCCACGGGCGAAACACGTCGCCCGGGTGTCTTTTTGGTCCTTGTCCTGCCTCTTGTGGCGCAGAGGGCGGCTTTGGGGTCCACCAAATTGCAATGCCCTTGTGAGAAGCTTGGTGGAGAAGATTTCAACGCGAATCGAGCACCGAAATGTAGTGGCTTGGCTTCGGGGTTGGAAACCGGATGCTCCAGAAAACAAAAAAACGCGCCGTCCGCATTTCGGTGTTTCAGCCCTCCGAGACCGTCCTTCTACCGCACCCGCCTCCACGGTGGCTGCAGCCTTCTCCACCTTCTCAAAGGCCTCTTTGGCCCGAGCCTGGATGGAGCGATGGCAGTGCCGGGAGCTCCTGTCCTGCCCGGTCCTGCCCGGATCCTGCCCCTCTCTCCACAGACTCAGCAAGCAGAATCGACCTCGCCTTCAACTCCTCGGGCGCCTTATCTGGATGGACCTTCAGTGCCAGCTTCTTGTAGCTGGACCGCGCGCTTTTGCCATCAACGGTGTCCTCGTGGGCCCCACGACGTCGGTAGAAGTCGGAGTCGGCAACAGAGAACTCGGCAAGTGGGGCGGCTGGCTGGGTCATGGTTGGGCTTGAAGGTGATGGTTTCGACACAGCGGGGGCCTGAGATTGAAAAAAAAACAATGGGATCTTCAATCCCGACTCCACCAACATGAACAAACACGCGGACTTGTCACCTCTGAGTGCCCGCCCTGGTTGCCCCCTGCTGCTCTCTATGTCTCTCTCTCTCTCTACAAAAGCACATGAGAGGTTGGATTCAACTGCATCTTTACGCTAACTTCTCTGCACATGGGCAGAAGTTGGAACATGCGTTTCCTTTATTCAAGGCAGCTTGGCATGTTGCCTATGCCTGACTGAGCCCTGACGAGCGGACGCCGGCGAGCGGACGGCCAGCGTCTGCCGCGTCGTCTGATCGCACTCGCCCCCTCTCCTCAGGGCCAAGCCCCAAAGTGGCGAAGGAGTCCGGAGTGGCCTCCAGGACTCTTCGCACCTCATGGCACCAGAGAGGGAGGTTCTCCATGGTTCTCCCTTTCCCTCGAAGCAAAAGAGGTTAAAACCCTGCACCAGGAGTCATACTTGGGGGGTAGTTTTGGGTCACTCACTTGGCACCCCGACTTCCTCCAATTGGCACCCCTTCAATTTCATGTCTAGAAATCTAGAAATCTCTCACGAGTCGACATTACTCGAGCCAGTCGTGACCTAAAATCAAGATGAATTATACCAGCACCTTCCAGGTTACCAGTTGAGACCTCTAGGGCCTAACGAGCCTTTCCCAACCCTCCATTTCGGAGACACGTTGGAGGTGGTATCGATTCGGTTCCACGGTTCGCACCGTCCCTACGGATGCTGAGTGGAAGATCGTGGAACGAACCCAAAGGAGTCCAAGGAATGAAAGGGGAAACCAAGGGCAGGAGAAAAAAAAAACTCCACAAACCACACGAGAAAATGGGTGTGTGTATATATGAGTCAGATCTGTTTGACTTAATTTATCCATTATCATCTACTATCTATCTGTTTCTTCATTGTAGGTCAAAGTTTATTGTTCTTCTTCACCTAGACAAAGGGTCATGACTATCTAAGTTTCAGGATTAAAGTCAAGCTTCAACCAATTGGTATCACGTTGTATCAGGAATCGGGATTGTTCCTACATACCAATTCTATCAACTGCTCAGAGACTGATCAAGAGACTGATCAAGAGATATCAAGAGCTGTTCCCTGCCTCACCGCCTCACCTTTACGGGTGAACACCTCGGAGCACATCCCAACCGAGACGGTTTCCCCCGGCTGCGCCTCCTCCTCGACGGTGGCATCCTCTTGGATCTGCCACTCCCGGGCTTTTTCAGCCTTCTTCACCTTAGGAGAAGGACGTGCCCGCATTGCCCCTCTCATCACCCACTGATTTGTTCTACAGGCTGACTCCCGGCGCCCTGAAGCCCATAGCACCATATCAGCACATGGAATGATTGCAAAAGTTTACAAAAATACAAAAACATAATGAAACAAAAACTGCCCATCGCGGCAGTTCATGTCTTTCCTTCTGCCCCTTCCTTCGTCCTGGACGGCCTTTTCCTCCGTCCTCTCGGGCTTCCGCACAAACGGCGCCCGCACCACGCCAGGCCCTGAGGACTCCCCGACCACCTGGGCGCCTAAGGCCTCGGGCGCCGTCAACCGCGCGGTGAACCGGGAGGTCCCACCGAGAGGCGGATCGAAAAAGGAAGAAAGGGAAACTGGAAGAGTTCCAGGAGGTGAACTTGTGGTTTTCCATGGTTGTTTGTTTGTTCCGGGGTGGCTTTTAGTCGAGTGAGTGGATGTGCACCCCGACTTCCTCCAAGTTCGGCACCCCTTGTGTGACTCCTGGTTGGAAAGACACGGGGGAACGTAATATGACAAAATAATCCTATATTATGGATGCCTGCAGGCAAACTGCAAGGGAATGCCACATGAAGGATGGATGTGGTAGTGGAGTGGGCTGTGGGCTTGTATCTGGCAGTTTTGTGGCCGCATTTGGCCATTGACGCAGTGCCAGATTGTAGATCAGGAACATGTCGTGTGAGTTCGTGGTGAGACTGCAAATTGTACCAGGAGTAGTGGCCAGCTATAGGAATCTGTTCATGTGTATGAGGGGATGGCCTTGGTCCTTATGGTGCGCTGAGCTTATCACAGAACCAAGCCACATGTTTGGGGGTAGAGGATCTGCTCCCCTCCGTCAACTGGTCTCCAGTTGGGGCAGTTGCAGTTGGACTAAGCGTTTATAACAACACCTCCCGCTCAAAGGTCGCCCAATTTAGTGAATATGGATGGCTATGTTCTCCGTCCTCCTTTACAACGATAAAGGTTACCAGCAGAGGAATCATTGACAGGTAGTCGATGTGGCAATGATCTGCCTCAGCTTTTGCCAAACAATTGCTTCATCTCGTTCCCTCCCTTCTCTTCCGAAATGATACGCTATCCCAGAGCTCCCGTTTGGTGGGATTTTCAGAACGGGCTCTGATGGTAGAAACCCGAAGAAAAGCGCGGCTGGATGCGGCTGGAAGAAGAAAAACGCGGAAAAAACCACTGACTGGTGCGACTCGCAAGAAATCAGGGAATGGATCCTAAGGAAGTTGGGCGGTCATTCCCTCACCTTCCTTCTAAGCACCTCAGAAAGAATGCCAGGAACAACGGCGGGGGTCGGTCCCGCCTGTATTCGCTTCTGTTCTTCCAGCGAGCTGGGCGTGTGTCGGCCATCCAGTGCTCGCCAAGTGCCGTTGGGGCTGATCACCTTGATCGTCGCATGGCTTCCGAGTATGCCCTGGTTCCGAGACCTGTAGACGAAAACCGTCTTCCTTGGTCCATGACCCAGTTCCATGTGGATCTCTTCCCTATCTCCAGATGTCGGGGGTTGACGTTGGGACCTCCATCTTGAAAACCACCTGTCAACTCAGTGGGAAACCTCGTGCGGTACCAGAGAAACCCAATCTATTTGGAGGGTCCAGAGGGTCCACGCCATGCGGTGGACGTCAACCAAAAGGTGTCCACCAGCTTGGCACAGCACTTCTACAGCACTGACCCAAAGGGAAATAGTCAAGAACCGTGGACAATCAAGGGAGGAAATACCATTGCCCTTGGGTAGCTGGTGCACAAGCCACAAATACGTATATATATATATATATGTGCAACATATTACAGAATACACAGCTCGTCCGTGTAGCAAAAAATCTGAACTCGTTCTTTGCGCAATCCCGAGGCAAATCCCCCGCAAGAGCAAGTCTCACAAATGTTCTTCTTCGCCCAAGAATATTACAGCCCAAAGGCACAACCCTCAAAAGTCTCAAGACCGAGGGGTCTAACGTCACCTCTACTCTCCGCCGAAGCCTTCACCAAGTACAAGTATGGGCTTCAACCTCCCGACTGACTGGAGGGTTCATGGCTCGAGCGCGCCGACGCTCTGCGAAACGTACGTCACACGTCCGACTTCAGCAGAGGCACCAAGGCATGCGTGCCACCGACGCTCGCCACCTCGAGTGGAAGTTTCACAGGTGGATGCAACGTCTCGCCCCTCCAAAAGTCCAATGAATTGGCTCTACCTACCAGGACCCTAGTCTTTAAGGGGCTTCTATTGATATAGCCCCTTAGTCTTTTTTCGGGGTGTCCTTCAATCACCCCGACGGCTGTGTTCGACCTTCGGCGGCTGGGGCGACCCACCACCAAGCGGTCGCCCAGTAAGAGTGCCTCAGGTGGTAGCAGTGAAGTCAACTGAGCGACCCAACGACGACGAGCTGAAGGTGCAACCCAGCTGCACACGTTGGTTCTTGCAGTGTAGCATGGACACGTGGTTGTCACCGGTGGTTGGTGAAAGCAGATGTGAAACACTGGACAAAGGGTACCGCATAAATTGCACATCACATAAGATGCATAAGATCACATAAGACACATAAACTAAATCAATCAACACCAATTAATAAAGTTTGAGATAAGTGTTCCATTGTTTTCCTGTCATTCCAAGTTGGCTGGGCCCCCACTCTCCAACTAAATCTGTTGATCGCTCTACGTACATGCGTTGAAAAACACTGAGGCTTCCGGCTATTGACACTGAGACTCCTTCCCAGCAGCATCCAGCCTGTTGTACCAGTTGTACCTGACACCCCCAAAATCATCCAAAATCTGCATCTCCACCAACCATCAAATCATATCAAATCCCAGAACCTTTTTTATCGAAGAAAAGGAGGCCCTCGGCGCCAGCAGGCCATGTCGGTCACGTCCGCGTCGGTCACCCGCGTCCGCGCTGCTGTCGGTCCAAGTCTTCCATTCCCAAGACGACGCTCCCACCGCTCCGCTCCCTTCTCTCCCTCTGTAGGCTCACATCTAGCTCTGCGAGGATGGACTGGAAGAGGTCCCTGATGGCGATCCAGGTGGTCCATTCCACGGAGAAAGCGCCAAAAGAAACGCATACCTTTTGCAAAAACACACCATATGTTTACTTATGGCATCTTGTGGCAAGTGGCCACAAGATTCCATTTTCTTGATTCGGACCGGCCTCAAATCAGGGTCGTGCCAGCTTGTAATGGAGGCCTCGGACGGTGTTGGATCTGGTCCAACTGACACATCTTTCACCATGAATGGCTCTCTAAGCAGCTTAACTTCACAACGAACCAAGAACCCATCGCAGGTGGTCCAACAAGGACCGCCGCATGGCTAGAAAACCAGGCACCTCGTCTGAGCCACAACACTCAATGACCAATATAATACAGTATAGCGGGTCTCGGCCGAGCCCCTGGCACTGAGTTGCGGCAGAAGCTTGGTGTGGAAATGCTTCGAGCACCACTCCACCGCGGCTCCACCTCTCTGAGCCACCGGTGCTTCGGCGCGTTCGTCACTTCGCGTGCTTCGGGCATGGGCGCCGGCATCGGTGCACCCAGCGAAAGTTGGATTTCCCCTGGACGTTCCCCCCAAATGAACAAGAATACACGATGTCCCACGTCACTGGTTGGTGGTCATATATATATATATATAGTCGGTATCCCTTCACAGCCACCGAGCTGTAAAAAGAGAGAGTTCACTGAGTTCACTGCCCTCCTTGGGACCAGATTCGTTCCTTGACCCCCGCGGAGCGAACCACGGCGTTCCTTGCACCGGCGCCTCTGACGCCGTCAAAGAGCGCGAAGCACGCTGCCGGCCTTGGGTGAGAAGGTTTGGCCCGTCCTTTTCTGCTTGCACCGCTGTGTCCACGCCATATTTGGTACATGTGGACGAACAACAGTCCACAAACCCCAGTGAGGTCGGAAACGGGACACCAGACCTTTTGGGGCTCCTGTCCGGACCCTTCCGGTGAGCCAGCCAGCCACCTCCCAGGCTCGACCCCCGGGCTGGTCGAGGAAGAACAAGGGCGTCTTCATGGCCGCCCCGGTCTTCACCAGTTCCTGCGAGCCAAAAGCGATGAAGAGAAAATCAAAGGACCTGGCCTAAGTCTGAGATGAAGAGGGAGACCCTAGGCCGCCTAGGCCCTAAGGCACCTATGAGATCCTGCAACTCTCCAACATTCTCCAACTAATATCAATAATGAGTTTACGGGGATCAAAAAGGGAGACCCATGGCATCATTCCAGCGATGTTTACCCGTTCTGTTCACCAGGATTACAGGTCGCCCACATCATCAGGCATCCTAATCCTCAGGTGGGAGAATAGTACACCTAAGTTCAAAAGTTAATCCTCAGGTGGCATCCTAAGGTGACATCCTAAGTTAATCCTCAGGCATTCAAAAAGAATTGGACACGGAGTCGATCTGGTCGGGCTACTTCCTGGAGACTGGAGTCCCAGCCACCTCCCGCCCCCGTCCGGCCTTCAAGAGCATGCTGCGAGGTCGGTCCGGCGCATTCAAGTCCTGACCCCCCCACGGTCGGTCCCCAACACCCGACAGGGCGGAAAAAAGCCCATCCAAGGCGCCCATCCAGAGCGGAACGGCCGGCCTCCACCGTTTCGCCGACCGTTCCACTGTCCCGTTGGACAGTGGTGCTTGGAAGCCCTTTTTTGCGGGGTGCCAGGAATGGCACCCCTCCCACGGTGGGAACGGATTGCTCCCGACCCGAAGGTAGCATGCGGACGCTGCTGTAGCTGAGGAACATTGACCAACTGGTACAAAGGAGTGCCGAACTTGGAAGTCGGGGTCACTTCCAGACTAAAACACCACCCGGACCTGACTCCTGATATCTCAGGAGGCCCAGGTGGCGCGCGGGTTGCACCGATCGAATCGCTGAAACCTCCTCACCTCGTCCGTCTGTCCCACCAGCGACGCGCCAGTGTTGACGACCAGTGGGTACTCGATGGGGTCATGTGGCACGTCACAGTTGACATACCTGGCGAGCTCCGCGTCCAGCTCAGTGGGTAAACACTACAGAGCTGCATGGTGCCAGTCAATGGCTGGCAGTTGGTTCACCATCATTATGTTGGAACAGGCTGTCGTGGAGAAGCTTCTCTGTCATGTGCTGTCGTCGATTTCGGCAGAAATCTCCCATCCTCTCACAGATCCAGGTGCAGTTCTTCGTCCCACGCGCGCGAAGAACGCGGCCCGGCGCGGGTGGGCTTCTCGGCCGCGCGGGCCGCGCGGGTCGGCCGCCACGTCCACGAACCGTCGGCTTCGCACGGGCCGCGCTCGCGTGGGGCGCACGAGTTGGTGGCGGAGTCGACTTTCAAGTATTGACCCTTGACGGGGTCAAAGGCCATGGGTGCACTGCAGTGTCTAAAGAACTCCTGCCGCGAGAAAACCGACTCTGGGCGTCGACCGAATTGGAAAGGTAGCTACTAAGAATCCAAGGAACAAGGGGGAGACAAAATGGTCAGTTGGCACTTGAAAAAGCTGAAGGAGGGAGTGATAGAGAATTTATATAATTGAGCATGGCAGACCCATCTGCTTTTTCCACCCCTTTCTTTACGATGTCTACAGTCTCATGCCCAGTCTCCCAGATCTCCCGATCGGGTGGCTGATCTGATGCAAACATCTGCAGCCTCCAGGGCCAAACACCCTGACACATCCTCAAAGTCAAAGGGATTTTACACTCTGACCTCACCAACATGGTAAGTGGAAAATGGCGTGTTCCGACCCTTTTCCTGTTCAAACAGGTGGTGTTCCATGGTCCATGTGTGAGGTTCGGAGGGCTGACAGGCTGCCTTCTCCCTGGTGACTTGCTGCTATCCAACTCTGAGCCAGTACCAGCCCACCCTGCACTCCGCGCTTTTGTGCCCTGGTTTGATCCCAGGTTGACCCTCCCCAAGCGCACCCCTCGGCGGCCAGCCGTGCGAATTCCAGACCGACGCTGCTCAGAATTTCCAGCGCAGGCTCAGTGATACGCTGATGTTTGGTCAAGGAGACCTCCAGGCCACTCAGTTGAGCAGCAAGCTGCTTGCAAGCTCATCCATGTTCAATTTATTTATCTACCAAAATCGCAAGGGCTCTCCACAATCAGTTTTCAGAAATGACTCTTGGCAACCACCCCGATTGTGGGTCCTGCTTGGTGCTACATCTGTATATTGACTGCAGACTGCACAAAGCCACACTGCATCAAAAACTCATCCTTCCCATCCACTCATGTATGCCACACCTCAACCGGAGCGCGGCCACACCTTTCCCACTCCCCTTCCCCCTCCGCTCCGCCTCGTTGCATGCCAGCCACCGCAGCGCGGGAGCCTCCAGTCCACGCAGCAGCCCCCGCACGAGACCGGGCGCCTCCGCCTCGCCGGCCAGGGACCGCAGGCGGAAGGTCTCCAAGGCCAACTCCAACGAGTCATCTCCGTGGAGAGCGGCTGGAGCGCCGCCCTGGCGCAAGGTGAGAGGGAATCCAAGCATCGCGGGGACGCGAAGCGAGAAACCGGAACAGCAACGTCGATGTTCCAACAATTGCTCAAGGGCAAAAACGCACCCCTTAAGTGTAGAAGTGGTATCGAAACCCCAGTTCCCTTTGGAACATCTGCCTTCAATGGTTGCGACACACCCTAGCCTGCCAAGGCCCTTTAAAAAATGGTTGACCTGATGTTGTAGTGTAAAATCCTTGAGAAAATGGTTGTTCGGAACGGTAGAGGCTTGTGGCAATCAAATCAATGGTGGTTGGAAGCCTAGGGTATAGTTTCCTTACTTGCAGTACTATAAGCGTTCCCGGACTGCTTGGACGCGCCACGCCCATCAAAAACCATCAAAAACCCATAGCAGGTCACTGGCTTCTAATTATGATCATCTCGGCAATGGAACCGTTTCGAGGTCCACACTGGCAAGAAGAGTCTTCAGTCCTTCACTCGCCCAACATTCGTCCCATTTCGTCCTCACCGGGGAAGGATTGAAAACATCGCGCCTGCAGCATCTTCATCAAAGACTTCATGGATACTGCCACTTCGGCGGTGAAGTGTCCATAGCTCCCCTCCTGCAAACTCGTCGCCACTGCCCGGCTCAAAGTGAGATCCTGAGCACTGATCATCCTGGGACGGACGCCGGGCGCGCGGGCGAACGACGCCGCGTCCTCGCGGAGGAGGAGGCTAGCTCTCCATTTGGACGAGTCCAAGTGCAGCAGAATGGAATTGTAGCACACCAGGTCGGCTCCACGTTGGCCGTCGGACGAACGCCAAAGCAGGTGGAAACACTTCTCCCACAAGCCAGCTTTCGCCTCGCTGCCCACCGGTTCCAAATAACCAAAACTGACCAACCACCCTCAGTAGAGGGAAACCATCCCCCATAATCTTCCAAACCAGCTCTGGCAGTTGCATGTGAATCTGTTCGTTCCACCAGAGTGGAATTGTTCGTTTCCATAACTAAAGAAAGCTACATCGGTGGCTCCGTGCTACAGAGCTTCTAGTCGATTCAGCCCACCAAACATTGGAATAACACTATAAGCAAACACAAAAAGAAAGGACCCCGCGCACCAGTTTCAACATGTTTCAACCAGGTCACGCAGGCACTGATCAACGAGTTGTAGCCAGGCTTCAAGACCGACAACTTCTCTGGCTCCCAGCTCACCTCGGAACGTGGGTTTTCACCAGTTCGAGCGTTCAGCACACTGGGCGCAGCAGCTAACGTCAGTTCTCATCCAACACATGCCTTAAGAACAGGGACGGCCTGGCCCACAACCAAGGGGTTGAATCCATTCACCATACCAAAAGGGCTGGCTACCTTGCTTGGAAAACAAAAATGATGGAAAAAGAAAAACTAACATATCTATACGCCCCCTCCTCATCAGAAGCTCACAGGTTGGAGGAGGTCCACTTGGCGAAATCCAGGCTCTGGTTGAGGGCAGTCATTTCCACATACTACAGTGGTATAATGGTGTGTGTGTGTGTTAAGTAGTTAAACCAATGGCACTCACTACCCATGGTATGGTCACTGTGGCCTGGGTTCTGGGCCCACTCTTTTCTCAGTCCACTTCCATACCCTGGCCAATTGCCACGTGACCGCGCGTTCCGCTTCACTAAGGAAGTGCAAAGCACTGCTCCATTGCCCCCCGCTCTCGCACGCACTGAGCAATGAGTTCCAGGTGATGACATCTGGAGTGCATTGTTCATCAAGCATCTCCTCCAACAGGAGAAAGACTTGGTATAGGTTGAAATCCGCAAAAGCAGCTCACTAGCTCTCCATCCACATCACGCCTGCTCGATCATAAACCTCTATAACATCTGAAATCTGTTGACTCAACTGATCCAGCCACTTTGTAAGCATCGGGGCAGTGGCACAAGTTGTACAGTAAAGGTAGGAACCCCTGTGGACTATGCAAGGGCTGCTCAAAAGCCTACAAGCGGCGTAGTGATGTGTGCTGCTTGTCCATTTTGGGAGAAATAGGCCTGCGGATGCCTGCAACTTGAGCAGCACATGTTTCCTTAGCTGCCCAGCTTTACTCGCGATTTGGGGCCTCTACCCTCCACCCCACGATCTCCTCAAAGAACCGAATGGCAAGCTCCCACTGACGGGATCGTTCCAGCGCACTCATCACCTCAGTCGGTGCGGAGCGCGGAGCGCACCACGAGTGGAGCGGAGCGCACGGACGACTTGACCCAGCCCTGAGGGTCAAAGACGGCATGCCCTGAGGGTCGGATCCCCTGGGAGACCTGACGATGTCCACCAGCCTTCCCTTTTGCTGAAGCAAAGGGGCCGAGTCCCAAAATGCCTCGTCTTTCATGCCTGATCCGTGGCATTCATCGTTTCAACCACCGCAGATCGAGGCACCGAGCTTCGGGTCACCTCCGTCGGCTCCAGTTCGCTTTTGCGCAGCTGGTGCAGCAGGTGCACGCTGTGTCTCCAGCGGCCGCCCCGGCCACAGGCCGCCAGAGCCGCGTTGAAGGTCACGACGTCGGGCTCGACGCGCCGAAGCGTCATCTCGTCGAGGAGGAGGAGGGCGTGCTCCCAGCGCGCGCGGCGGTGGCAGGCGCTCAGCAGGGCACCGAAGAATTTCTGGCAGAGCGGCAGGGGATTTCGGCAAGGAAGGTGATGTTTAAAAGGCTTAGCAAACACACTTGACAACTTGACATGGAGCCACCATTGAATTGACCCAGCAAGTGGCCCAAAACTGAACAGAATGCTCCATGATGCTCTTTCTGGACACCTTCACCTACCCTAGACCTACAACCTAGACCAGCTTAAATAGACCTGTTTTCGCACATTGTCCGAGGCACTAGGCTGGGCTGCACATGCCTCTGGTCCATGACCTTCAACAGCTGGATCGCCTCGGCCCACTTCTGGGCAGCCTCAGCGAGCGAAACAGACGCTTCAATATGTGCCACAACTCACTATCGCAACTCACCTCAATCTCAATGGGGAACACACCCAAAGAACTCAAAAACAAGAAAGAACGATTAACTAGAATCTACCTGCAGCCGACTACAGTTCCATCATGTTCCCCACAATCAATGTTCCTCTTCCCCACGCATCCCCGCAGGCTCTCCTCCAAGCAGGCGGCCACCGCGCCGTAGTGCTGCACCCTCGGCGCCGGCACGTTCCCGCTGCACCCCATCTGCCGCAGCAGCGCGACAGCGGCTCTCCAGGCGGAAGCACCGCGGCAGGCGCTCAGCACAGCTGTGCCTCGGTGTGGTCGGTGCGTTGGTCGATCGCCAAACCACGACCACGATAAAAGTCGAATAAGGGTTGCTCCGTTTGTAGCTTCGGTGGATCACCTTTCCCCCAACTCTCCGAGCAGAAAACGCATTGAGCCAACGCGATAAGGTCATTGAGTCATAGGTTAGCTCAATTGAAAGGGATCCTTCTTGGTACCTGGGCAGGTCGGATGCTTGTCTGCAATGTACAAGCGGGGTGAAGAACAACCCGGGTTCGCAGAAAGTCACTCGGCATGTAAACGCAGCATTAGTCAAAAGTCACCCGGCTCGCGAAAAGTCACCCGTTTTTATGTTAAACACAATGTAAACGCTCTACGAAAGTATGTTTGTCAAAACTGCTAGACATCAAGAATTCAGTGCCCCTGTGCAGGAAAGAGCTAGTTTTATGTCGAAGTTTGCAGCGTTTTGGTGACCGAACCCCAATCAGAACGCGAGATTAGCCTGCAAACATAGATGCAGCATGCTGAGACTACACGATTGACCAGACACTCTTCCAGTTATATTGACATCTTGCATCTAACCCCATTGTAAAGGCAGCATCCAGCAACTTCCTACAAGACCAGACGACTTAACACAGGTACTTGAAGTACTTGTATCTGCATGTTTTTCTCAACTCTCCCACAGTCCTACACAAAGGAGAGTCTCATGACCTTCCATATAGGTGTATGACAACCTGCTCAGAGCCAACAAAGCCAGAGCTGCAAAAGATTGCATCCACCGCATTGACTTTCTGGAGATCTTCCAGTAAAGCCAGACCCATTTGCCATCGCTTCAGCTTGCCGTAGGATTGGCAGGCACGGGTGTATGCTACGACATCCTGCCACGGGCCACTTCCGGTCTCGTTTCTCTCATCCCTTGAGCTGTGGCTTTTAAGTGAACTTTGAAGTGGACCAGGAGTCACAAAGGGGTGGTGCCTAGTTCCCTTTTGTGAGTGGATAATGGCCACCCCTATCCTCCATGGATCGCACCCCTTCATGACTCCTTTAAATTTCATCAATCCGAAAGTGTCTCGAGCATCATCCAGTCCCACCCAACAAAACACTAAAGAAGCGGTGAAGCAGCAGGTCTTGCAAGAGACGACTGCGACGACTCTTCAAATTCTCAAACTCTCCAACCATCACAAGTGTGAACCCCACGAGCTAGTCCTCATTCTCATCACTCGCATTCTCGTTCTCTCTCCCTCCCTTTCTCTGTCGGCCTGATTGCTGCTCCTCTCCCCTACCCCTGACACCACACACTCACACCGAACATCTCCATGCCTGGCCCAGCAAAGCCTCCCGCGCGGGAGGTGCCCGCGCCGTTACCCAGGGCCGGGCCCAGCGCCCACGCCAGGCGGCCACGGGCGCCCGCGTGCGCCACATTCGGGAGTCTTGAGCCCGGTTCCCAACGGCCAAAGGCGGCGGATGGAGGGGCGACCAAGTGGAGAGACACTGAGTGGTTCCTTCGAATGAGCTGTGGCTATGGGGGAAGGCCCCCCCCCACTGACTTCACCCATTCTAAGGTGGTTTCGGTCGAACCAGGATCCCAAGTCAACCGCCTCTTCCCTCTTCCCTCACCACGCGTTGCCACCGAGGCCTTGTCACCGACGCGTTGCCACCCGGTTCCCCGGGGCTTGCGAGCCAGCCGTTGCCTCACCGCGGAGCCGGTGCCCGGGATCCCGCCGTGACCGAGCAATCCGATCCAGGGGCCGGGGAAGGTGCTGCTCCAGTGACCTGCCTGGCTTCTTCCCATGATTTGGTTCAGAGATTCCCATGATCAAGTTACCAAATGTCTCAGTTTGAGCTCCCGAGCTCCCCTCTAATTTCAGCTTTCTACCCAAACACCTCGACCGCGGCTTCGACGTACCTCATCGGCTTCTCCACCGGCTCTTCGTAGACGAAATCGTCCTTGGGAAGCTCCTGCGGTTTGCTGGGACTTGATCTGGAAGCCGGGCAAACAAGTATTCCCCACCCAGACGCTCATGGGCCCTCATATGGAGGGGTCGGACCCTCAAATTCCTATGGTTTTGAGGGACCAAGGGCTGTTTGGATCGTCTGGGCAGGTTTAGGGAAAGATCCGATCATCAAAACCAAGGTAGGAAGAAACCTCTCTTCACAATCTGACATGCATGTTTCAGTTGAAGCTGGCCATGCTATTCTTCGGTGGCCTTATTTCTGGGACATCGCTTCCACCCAATTCACCAAGCGTGGATTCAGGCCTCTTTCTTGTAGACCGCATAAATGAGTTCCACTGACCTCGGCTGGAATTGTTTCAGACGCCTTGGGAAAGGTGCAGGTCTTCTCTCAAGAAGATGAGCTGAGGCTCTCACCTCTTCTGTGCAGCCTCTAATTTTAATTCCTGTCAGCCCAAAAGAAGCATCAAAGTCATGCACTACCAGCGCAGACTGCCTGTGGCAATTCTCTAGGCTGGTGGAGGGTTTAACAGGAAGCTCTTGTGGGCTGTGCTTCATTGCTGATATGGAGGCATTGGGCAAAAGAAGAAACCATGACATAAGTAAACAAAGGGCTTTCAACCTAGCAGGTGAAACTTGAATCACGCTCTTCAACCGCTTCAACCCCACCTTGGGAGCATCCCGGCAAGCAATCCGCAGTTCCAAACCGTCCTGAAAACACACGGCGCGCCGGTCAATCGAGCCACGGGCCAGGTTGGCTTCAGCCGAAGTTGGCCGGGCTCGGATCAACATCTTCAACAAAAAAGCCAATTTGGTGGTTTGAATTTGGGTAGATCAACACTTGGATGTTCAACACTTGGTCGATGTTTCATGAGCTTGCTTCCTTTCTCCATCACCCAAAACGTGTCAATCCTTGACCGGGCTCCTTGATCGCTTCGCATCTCCTCTTCCGCCGAGGCCCACGGACCTGCTTCCGTCGCGATAGCGAGGTCACAGTCCACCATTTGGACCCCACTACTTAGTGTCACTACTTGAGTGTTCCATAATGTAAACTCTTAATAAAAATAAACCACTCTCACTTTGAATTGGACATCCTCTTCATACCGGGTGGGGTGCTTTATGGCCCTCGAGAGTCTACATGAGTTCCAGTTCAACTGGGGGACGATGATCTCCACGGTTCCAAGGGGCGCCGGGATCCGATCAGAACGGCTCCGCCTTGGCATCCTCGTACTTGTCGCCCACCATTTTGGAGACCCAAAGGACCTCGGCTCGGCGCGACCCGAGGTTGATGAGAAACGAAGCCAGCCAAAGCCTGGTGGGCATGTGGTCTTGTGGGCGAGCTTCTCGGGTCAAGAAGCTAAACAACGCGTTGCGTCGCAGCGTGGTCACACAAGTGGAATCGAAGCGATGTTCAGCATGTATCGGGCTTTAAAGCCCTGGAAAGGAGTTGCTCCTCTCTATTTGAGGAGGCCACATTCCCCCAGGCCACAATGCCCAACAAAAGTTTTTGCAATGCTCTTTCCATCAGAAGTTACCAATGTTCCCCACAGGCCAGAGCACCCCACGCCCAAAGGGCGTGCTGGACTAGATGCTATCTGACTTTGTCTGAAAACTGAGATTCTGGGCCACTTTGGTTAAAAGAAACTCAGCTTCTAGAACAACACACACTTCTCCAGAACCTCGGCATTGAATTGTGTCAATGGAACTCTGTCCTTGAACAAAACAAGTGGCTTACAAAATCACCAAAATAGACTCTTTATGACTCTTTCTTCGAATTGGCTTGGTAGAGGGGGGGTTCACATGAAAACCTCCACTCTCTCTCTCTCTCTCTTTTCAATTGGATCTTCCGTCCTCCCCACACGTCTGACACAACAAACTTCTGACCACATCAACGTCCCGAAGCCGCGAAGCCTCAACCAACTTAGGTGCCCGGCGCTGCGGAAGCCCCCCGCCTAGCACCAGCGACGAAAGCTGCCAGGGATGGGAGATTTTGAGGCAACGCGAAGGGTGGATCTATTTTTTGGGGTCCCCAAAAATCATTGTGTCATCCTTGCCCGGAGAAAGACCACATAGAACCCACCACGCGGGTTCAAGCCCCCCATACACTTGGACAGCCCTTTCCGCCGTCTCCTTTGTTTCCAAAGCCATTGGCCAAAACAGGTCAAAGTCCTGTTTTTGTCATCGCCTCCTCACCTCCTCACACCTCCTCACTGACAGGGGTCCCACCCCGACTCCGAAACCAAACCGAGCCCTTTCCGCCCTGAGCGCAGAGCGCAGTTCGCCTCGCTATCGATGTTCAGCACATCTCCAGCTTGTGCCTCCTTGGCCTCCCTCTCCTCATTCGGGCAACCCGACCCATCCGACGGGAGTCTGGGCGACGGAAGTCTGCCTCCGAACTGCTGAGCACCGTTTTTTCCGAACTGCGGTGTTGGTGTGAATCGCTTGAACATGGGTGTGCAACATGTCTGTTTCAACATGCTATGGATCAAAGTTGAGCAGTTCTTCTCTGCAGATTTGGGACTCCAAGACCTGCACGACCTGCACGCGTCGCCGCCGGCACGGGTCCTTTCTCACCATTGCTTCCCGCCCTTGAGCAAGCTGCCACATTGGCGTCCCTCAGGTGAAGGGAGTGGATTGGGCGACATCCTTGACTGAAAGTAAGAAGAACACCCTAAAATGGCCCTGAGAATCCTTGGGCCCTCGATGGCAGGGATACCCTCTTCATATCCCTCTTCTCGCAGGGTTCGGACCCTCGAAGCCCCCTTCCCAGCGAAATGTGGTTCCAAAATGTTCGAAAGAATTACAGTAGCTTCAGAGGTTCGATGGCACTGGCACCCCAAGAGGATTTTTAGATGGGGTTCCATATAAACCACCGAACTTGGGGAAACTTGTGCCATCGAACCTCTGAAACCACTGTAACATCAAATTGAGTGCGGCCTTGGGCCTCAGAGTGCGTTTGGTTTGAGTGGGTGCACCGGGAGGAGCAAGCAGGAAAAGAACCGTGGAGCTACGTGGCCGAACAGCGCGGGAATTGGCCTCACTCGTCTAGTAAGTCTATCATCTACCAAGCTACCACAAGCATCCACAAGCTACCACACTTGCATGCCTGGAGACCTGCCAACCAAGTGCTTGGTCGCTCCCACCAGCACATCGGCTCCCCCAACCACCAGCCACATCGGCTCTACCGCGGTCCGTCCATATGCGTCGATGCCTGTCGCAACGCGGCGGTCGTCGACTCCTGGGGATCCTCACCGCTCCAGCCTTCACTAAATTGGCATGCCATGTTGGCAACCTGGCAGTTTTTTTTTTCATATGCGTCGATGCCTTGATGGGAGAGTGGGGGGATATGGGGGGATTATATAAGGCGGCGCTAGAGTTCAATCAAAGGACTGCCGGCAAAGAGCGGGAAGACAGCTTCACCCTCGCGCCTGGGCTTTTGAGGGCACTAAAAAATAACTACTGCTTGAATTACTTGATCCGCATGGCGACAGCTGCGGACGACAATGCAGGTCTTGCTCAAGCAACCATACACTCTTGATACTCTTCCCCCGCTCCAACCTACGGCATCACTCACAAAGAAGCCCGTCCCTGCAAAACGTCCGCCATCAAACAGTCACCTCCCCAGACCCCAGACGCAGCACCCTTTTCTGCCCCCTGGGCCGATGCGCTGGTGAGGTCATCGGCCCGCGCGCATCAGGTGAGGTCCACGTGGCGGGCCAAGCGCAAGCGCTTGCGGACGGGAGGTGCCTCAGGCGGCGGACGGGAGGTGCAGGACGCGAGAGGTGGAGGGACCAAGCGTCAGGAAGGATGAAGAGATTCGCCACTAAGAATCAGGGAAGCTCTTGTTTTTGTACGAGATTTGAGGTCCCGCACCTGCTTCTTCTCACCTGGCGCATGAGACCAGCACATCATCCGCGCAAAAAAACCCTGACCCAAATCCTACGAATCCATGATTCACCATGACTATGATATACTACAGTGGGTTCAGAGTAGATGGCACAAGTTGCTCCAACTTTGGTGCTTTCAAATTGGGCCTCCATCAGGACCTGTTGGGGTGCCAGTGCCATTGAACCTCTAAAACCTATGTAACTCACCTTGAAAAGCAGCAGCGTGGCCCCGGACGGATCTGTCTTCCCCGCCTGCGGACGGATCCGCGTCCTCCGCGACGGATCTGTCGGCCGCGCGCGGCGGTGGCGCGGCGGCGGCCGCGGTGTTTGGGGGACCGCTGGACATCTTCAAGTGATCCTCCACGGCGTCCTGGGACGGTCCACGAAGCAAGTGGGGTCGCCCTGGGCCCAGAACCGTTCAATTGGGCTACATAAGCTCTATATATAGAGTCCTCCACCGCCCCCCAACCCAAAAAAGAAAGAAACAAGAAGCTTAGGATATAGCTTATAGGCACTCCACTCTCCCCCTGCGGTCCCTGATGGATCTTCTCGCCTGCGCCTTCGGCCGCAGGGGCCCCAAGATCCGCCGTCCCGCGCCCTCCACACATGCGGCATACCACCGCTGGCCGCGCACCACCTGCATGTGACCGGGGCCGTTCGGTGCAGATCCGTCTGTCCCAGTCATGTCCCGATTATTCGCTTTCGAAGCTCCGCTCCCACGCCAGGTCAAAGGGCCCTTGCAGTCCAACATGTGAGAATGACGGCTCGATACAAAAACACCTCGATCCAATTCCACCTGCTCTAGTTGAGAAGCAGAGTGACTTCCCGCTCAGGCCTGTGGTCGCACACCGTGCAGAGTGGCCGAGGTGGCGCGGGGAGCCTCCAAACATCGGCGACGGTGGGAGTCCCCAAACTGGATCATGAAGGCTATAGGCCAGGCTAGGCTACCAAGGCTCAATTTCATTGTGCGGAAGGGTCCGGAGTCCAGGTCTGAGCTCTTCGCGTTGAAATGCCCGAGGGTGCCACTTTGGGGGCCGCCAAGTCATGAGGGTGCCAAGTCACAAGTCACAAGTCATGTACCAAGGATGGATGGATTCTTGACGATCTGCGGATGGATTCTCCGCTTCGCTTCGATCGTCCCATCGGGCGCAGCGCCGGTCACCGACGGCGCCACCCGCACGCGAGCGACGGTCGAGACCGTCGGCGGCGCCCAGCGCACCAGGCTCCACTGGGAGATGGTGTCCGCAACCAGTTCCCGCCAGCAAGTCTCCAGGCGGCGGGCTTCGCCCTGCACAGGGTGGGGCGGGGAGGGGAGGAGTGGGAGGTCAGTTTCTGTTGGAAGAGGGGTGTTTGGATGGTCTTTCCGATTTTGAAGGCAATCCAACATACACATACACATGTTTGACAGGGAGATGTGTTTTCCGACCTGTTTGGGGGGTCGCTATATGTCTATGAATCTAATCTAACCTGATCTACTTTGTCTATATCTATAATCTATAATCCGACAATCCAATCTAATCTATCTATAATATTCTATAACAATATTGTTCAGGGGACGGGGTGAAAAGTAGTGGCAGATTGAACGACTAGGTTCCTCTCTCTTTCTGGGATCACCTTCACGACCATCTGAAACTTCAAAAAGAAAAACCAACAGTTCCCTGCACCACAGTTCGCCACAAAAGATTCAGCCCCCCAAACTGCACCTGTCTCTTGACACGATCCCACTGGTCGCGGCCCGTCCACCCTCTCCCACTGGTCGGTCCAACCGCCTCCAGAGTGGTTAAGGCATCGGAGAGCTCCGACTTGCCTGTTCGACCGGGCAGTCCACCGGGCATCCGAGTTCAGCGGAGCGGCGAAGGGCCCGTCCGGTCCGTTGGTTTTAGGCACAGTGCCGGTCCGCATGCAAAAGCACTGTCGACGCAATAGAGCATATGGTATTATCATACCCCTTACTCTACCATGGGGCATCCGGACACCCATTTCATAGAGGATTTGTGTTTATAAAATGGACGTCCGCAAAAAGAGTTTATATATAATGATGGCCGTATGTGTCTCCAAGTTTGGTATATAATGATGGTGCTTCTGAGGTATCAAAAAGGATCAAAGAACTCCGGAGAAGTGGCATGCTTCTAAAATGATAGGCTCCAGGATCAATAAGCACCAGTATAGCTTTTCCTGAAACCTTTATGAAATGACAAATCCACAAGCAAACCTGGGCGACCCCATCACTCCATCTTTGGGCTACTACTTCTTAGGACTCTGGGGTGTAGAAGTCAAAAAGTGTGTTTTTGATTGGGTTTCCAGTTCCTCTCAGGCTCCTGGGGGAAGAAAACCCAGCTGAATTGAACACATATTTATAAAATGACCTGGTAGTTTCAAAATTGGCAAAATATGCAAAAATTAGTTGGAGATATCATTTTATAAATGGTATCCCCTGTTCAACAGGGGATCTAGGTCAGCAACCCTGGGGGCCCA